GTGATATCATCCATGACCCCTTTCCTATGCACTTCAAAGATAATATTATTGATTTTCTGGTTGGTCTCTATTATATTTATTTGTTTAATTTCTATGAAGTGGGAAGCACGTCTACAACATGTAAGTTGCCTAATTTCATTTATACATGCTATATATATTCTGTTTTATTCAAGATCACTGTGGTGTTATTTTAATTTGCTTTTCGAATTTCGAACTATTTTTTTTTTCAGGGAGTAAATTGCTTTTCTTTCCAGCGTAGCCAGTGAGATTATTAAGTTATCTATCTCAATCTTAGCTTTTGATATCTATACTACTAAAGGAAGAGACCGATTTCATTGAGCCTCTAAAACCATACAAAGTCGGAAATATTTGTGATATGACTTATAAATGTAGTGTTTTGTACTTCCTAAATTTGTTAACAATCTTTTCCCCACAGAAAACGCCAATTTTTGAGAAAATATCCAAATTCGGAGACCGTTATCTATCCGTGTCTTATACGCTTTCGCGCATGCTCAGTTGACGTACTGCCCGCAAAATCTATATAATACTAAAACAACGAGGTCTTGAACTTCGTCATTATACAGAGATTAATACTTCTAAATTGAATCTTTGTCACATGAATTTTCCGGTTGTAGTAAGAAAACCAGGACTGGTTCAAACAGAAAGATTTTGATAGCAGAGGAAACTATGCACCTTATAATCAGCACGACTTTATCAGATGACAATACGAATACTAAAAATCCAGGCTTAAAATAAGGCGTAGTTACTTTAATTTAGTCAATGATCTGCGATGTCGCGGGTGTTTTCTAGTATATATAATATACATGTATCAATTGCATTGTTTGCAAGTTTCTGTTCGTATCGGGATTTTGTTAAACAGGAATGACGTTTAAAGATATCAACCTTGTCGAAATGATATTTACATCTTAGTTTTCTTGCAAATTCATTGATATCTGATGCAATACTATATTTTACAAATTTCGTCGAGGGAGACGGTGTGTAAATTAATCCTTTACTGAGTAACAAAATCTCACTGTCTTTTATTTTTTCAGTCTTGAAAATTTTAACATATTCATGTGCCTTTTAAATTGATGTTTTCTCTTGAGAAAGCGAATCTTAAACTCTCTATTTTTCTGATAGAATGCCTTTTTTCGTGATAAACTTTTTAGCTCCCCTGGCCCTAAGGGCCAAGTGAGCTCTTCTCATTGCTTGACGCCCGTCGTGGTCTGTTAACTTTTACAAAAAACTTCTCCTCTGAAACTGTTGGTCCAATTTAAACCTAACTTAATCACAATCATCATTGGGGTATCTAGTTTTAAAAATGTGTCCGATGACCCCGCCTACCAACCAAGATGGCCTACATGGCTAAATATAGAACATAGGGGTAAAATGTTAGGTTTGTCTATTATTCTGAAAATAATCATTAATAGAGAAAATCTGACAAGGGTGAAAATGTTCAGAACGTTGAGCTCTACCAATTGTCAGACACTACACTTCTAAAGTAATAACTTTTACAAGAATTTGTCACCTTCAATTTTTTGCTATATAGTTTAAATAAAAGTGTGATTTAAAAAAAAAATATTTTGAAGGCATTTCTAGTTTGATTTAAAAGAACATGGTACATGTACCATTATAATCAAAATTACACATCTTTATTTGATTATTTGGACATAGTTTTGTTGTGAAATGCTTTCATTTTCTGATGATATAAACACAAATATTATTTTTATCATGAAATTTACTATGAGTTTCTACCAAATGAAGTGCTAAAAAAATATTCATAAATGGTCACATGAAGAGAACACGAAAACAACTAAATATGAAAAAATGAAAAAACTAAAATATTCTAGAGACAATATTGTGACTTACAACACATGGTTTGTTAAAATCAAACCCTTAAGTTTATATTACATTATTTAAACAGCAAAAAGTTGTAGGTGCCAGACTTATATTAATTGCATAAGACATATCTTTACTGTTTTGGATTACACTTTGCTTGGAGAAAAGTTAGTTTTGTAAAATATATAAAATAAAAGTCTGTTCATACAGTATAAGTTTTTAGGATAAATGATTTGAAAACGCATTCCAAAATAACTTAATACTTAAGATTAAAAATTCTGGTATGATGATTTTAATAATACTTAAGATTAAAAATTCTGGTATGATAATTTTGAAAGGATATCTTCAAAACAAAACAAAAGACAACTTGCTCTGCCTCCAACAAGATTAAATAATCACTGCAGTATACATTGAAAAGATATGATACTATATGCAGTTACATTTACAATTAAGAGCAGTAGCCAAAACATACTCCATTTAAAGTAATATAATACAGAAATGTTTTAATTATTTAGCCTGGTAATGTTGGTATTGTGTCAATTTGACAGCAATCCAGCAATTATAAAGTGTTAAGCAACAGTACTTTTTTAAATGTCATGTTTTAAAATGTTCAGAGAAGAAAATATTTGGATTTTTTAGATTTTAAAGTCTTATGCTATAAATCTTGATTTTTTTATATATATCTTTTTCAGATCTAATATTATATGTTGTATGACAAGGCACTAAAGAATTCAAAAATATTTTGCTGCTAATCTATACGAATTTCAATTATTTGTAAGTATGCTGTTAGAAATTTTGTTGTCAATATATGAAACAATTATTTACTATATTATAAGCAAGTTCAAAAATATAACACATTTGAAGGTATCAACATTTTAATTATTTTTTCAAAATGTGTGGTTTTATGGTTTTATGTCAATGATTGATTGATTGAATGGTGTTTAACGCCACTTTCAACACTAGTGTTCTTTTTTATGGTGGTCAGTATTTATTGGTGGAGAAAGCAGGAGTGCTTAGACAGAACTGCAACCTTCAGTAGGAAATTTGACAATCCTAGTCAATAAGATTGTAGTCTAAACCAATAAATCAATTACCATAGTAAAAAAAATCACACCTTGCATGTGCAGGATTCCAAATTCCCAACCTCAGTGTTTACAGGCTAGTGATACAGTATGAGACATTTATAGTATAGCAGAGAAAAATATCAACATACACTCTTTATCTATAGAACAGTGTCTTAACATATATATATGAAGCTGTACATTTTTATGACATTCAGTTCTTTCAATTTTTATGCCCCCGCTGTAGCGGAGGGGGCATTAGGTTTTACCCTTGTCCATCTGTACGTACGTCCCGAAAATTAGTTTCCATTCTCTAACTTTAGTTTGCCTCAACCAAATGTTTTGAAACTTATACACAATGCTTATTACCACAAAAACAGATCCAGTTTGAATTTTGGTGGCGTTTATTTTTATTTAATTGAATTATATATTCTTCAGTTTCTGCACATGTTATTATAATAATATTTTTTTCTGTTTCAGGTCTTTTAACCTTTAAAAGTGAGACTAGACACTACAGATGTAAAGATGTAAAGATGTACATTTCTGTATGAATATCCAATAACTTGTAAGCATTCTTTTAGATAAAGTTCTATTACAAAACAAAACAAAATTTTAAACCATTGTCATTAACAAGAATGGCCTGGTATAACAAAACCTTGTGTCTGAAATCATCTTAAATACATTTTCTACAAATCAGGTTTATAATATTTGATGTTTTCTTTTTGTCTCCCTGTGAACATGTACATGAGATTACACACACTCATGCACACAAAACACACATATATATCATTGACAGTCACACATTTGATACACATCAATTATTATAATTAAATACTTTTATCTTTTTTTTCAGGCAGCATGGAAAAATTTCCTTGCCTAGCAGGACTAGGCTTTACTGTGTCTGTGAATAAAAGACTGGAGATAGATGAAGTAGAAGACAAATTTATAACTAATAAACTACTTCTTGAATTGAACACCATTAAAGAAAGGTCCAATGGTGTTTACACGTACCAGGATGTCCTCAACTGGATATCAAGTCTTAGTGGTAAAGAAAATGTAACCAACAAAAGCTTATATTTAAAGGTAAAATCTATACTACTGAAAATCAAGACAAAAGTTTCAAACCATAAGAAAAACAAACTTAACAGTGAACATGTTGAGAATTATTTGAATATGGTTATAGACACTGATTGGTTGTTAGAAATTCCAGAAACAAGAAAGCGTCATAACAATGATACAGAAAGAATTTCAAATGTAAAATCAAAGAAAAGAGAAACAATTGATTTGAAACACAGAAATAATAGCAACACATGGAGAGAAGCAAACAGGAAACTAATTTTCAAACTTCAAAAATGTGAAAAACAGTTAAGTCAGACAGAAAGAAAACTGAAAATATCACAGACTCAAAACAAAATAAACAAGAAAAGATATACCCAAGTATTCAAGTTTCTGAAGAAACGTAGAAGTAAGACCGAATTAGAGAAAAAAAGAGATAAAGAGAAAGTACGATATTGGAAAACACAAACTAACAAAATAAAGCAGCAAACTCAAACTAAACTGGACAATTTGAAAACAGCCATAGAAACCCATGAAGAAATACATAGACTGAATCGCTTAGAAATCACAGATCTAAAAAACAGATTACATGACTTAGAATTGGAACTAGAAAAAAATGAACACACTGCCGAAATAGATTTAACTAAGCAGAGTAAATTTGGAAGATATACCTATACAGCAGAGACAGATTTATGCATAATGGAATTATTGAACTGCCATGTTCCCTTTGATAGAGTTGATACTGTCATAAAAAGTGTTCTTTCTCTCTGCAAGTTGAAAGCTAAAGATGGAACCTTACCAAAGAAAGATTATGTTTCGTCTGTTAATGTCCGTAGACTTGCCATCAGTCAGGCTCACATTGCAGAGACATGCATAGAAGGAAACAGAACATTGTACACTGACGAAACAAGAAAAAATGGACAGTCATATGGCGTTGTCATAACATCCAATGAAAACCAAGAACCATGCTTATTGGGACTGAAGCACATGTCTAGTAAAGCTTCAAAAACAGAGTTAGAAACGCTTAAAGTAATTCTAAAAGAAATTGAGGATCGTACTCAATATTTGCAAAATGAAAATCCTCCAAGTTTGGCTTATAACATTTTAAAAAATATTTCAAATACAATGTCTGATAGAGCTGCGACAGAAAAATCATTCCAGCAACTTCTGCAAGATTACAGAACAACTCTTCTGAAAGAAAACATGGACAACTTTAATGAACTATCAGAACCAGACCAATTACTGATTACTAAAATGAATAATTTCTTTTGTGGTCTTCATCTTTTAGTCAATATTGCAGATTTGATGTGCAGTATCTTCAAAGAATGGGAGCAAACTGTGATGAATAAAGAAGTAGTTGGGGAGTCAGCAATTATAAAAACAGTAAGAGAAGTATGCAAGGCATTTGTTCCTGGCGTGGACAATAAAAATGGAGCATCACTAGAGCTAAAAACATACCTGTCAAGAATCAACGTTAAATTTCAATTGAAGTCATTCCAGGGTAACCGATTCAACATTGTCTTCCATAATGGAGGAGTAATATATTACCTTCATGAACATTTCATTTACTTCCTTGAAAATATAAAATCAGAAGGCAATACCAACACCTTGAATGGGCTGATGAAAGACGTATTGAGAAATTTGAAATGCAGTCACAATATTGTAGGCTTAAGGGCATTAGGAGTTTACAATAAATTTATAACATCACCTCTTTGGAAAATTATTGAAGCTGACAATACACATATTCTAGACATGAATGCGCACTACCATAATCTCATCCAATTTTTAGAAGATGTTGCTACAAATATAGAATCAGCAAACGAACTCTTAACTGGTGAAAAGCGACCATTCCCCAATATAAAGATAAAAAAAGATGAAGTCTGGGAAGTTTTGGTCAAACAACAGACCAATGATGCCGAAACTGTGAGTCTGTTAATGCAGATGGCTGCCGCAACATGCAAATCATTAAAAGAAAAAGTAAAAGATCATTTACCCGATGGGAAATTTGAAAATGTTACAGCAGATGTACAAATACAAATGAAATCAGTCATTCCACACAACAAATTACCTGAGTGGGTATTTGGATACCTTGATTGGCTCCTTAAACACAGACCAAATTCAACAAGACTAGCCAACGAAGCACACATCGTATACAAATTAAACAAAACATCAGAGTGGCTCCACAAAAAAACTGAACTAGAGATTGAAAAGCTAGTTCAATGGTCAAAAAGAATGTTACCCAGAATCAAGTTTCAGGAGAAAGAGAGAATCAAAGAAATAAAAAAGCAAATGGAGGATTTAAGCAAAGCAAAGGAAGAAAAAAGCAAGACAAAAAAAGCCAAACAACTGGAAGAGAAAAGAGAATTACTGGATGCCATCTTTGTACAAGGGCTTTGGAAGTCAAGGCAAGAAATAGAAATGAAACTACAGCAGAAGTCAAAAAAACTGTAAAGAAAGATGTTGACTAATCAAATAAAATTTAGACAGTTAGTCCTAGAACAATCAGCTGACAAAAAAACTTTCCAAATAAGCAGATTTGAAGGCAAACCAGTTACTATAGATATGCTGATGTCGAACATGGAGATCTTAATAAGATTGGAACATGTATCAGGTAAGTCGTTACAACTCATAAAACAAATATGTTATTAACAACACATTGAATTTTGGTATATGTTGGTGAGACAGCAAACAAACAACACAGTCTAATCAAAATAGGAAATTAATTACTTCAAATTGGCCTGAACATTTACTCAGTAGATTTTTTTATTAATCTTATTGAATTATGCTGATCTAGTTTTACAAGTACAATATTACAACAAGTTTAATTGCATGAAAAAAACCTCGTCAAAGATACCATATTCAGCTCTTCATACAAAAATTCTTGTTAGTAAGAATACTCTTTTTTGTGAAAAAAAACTTGCAGGCTTCTATAAATTAGAAGTCGAGTTTCAACAGACCAGCACCTGTGATATTTGACATTTGACAAACAAATAACCAGATAGCAATTTAAGAAAACAGCTGACTGAGTATTTATAACAAATTTTCTTTTAATCAATTTGACTTTTGTTGTATAGATTTCAAACTACGAATAAGCTATATGTAAATATACACCTTAACATAGCATACATTATTTTATTTCAGAAATAGAAGTAGATGTAGAAGAAACAGTGACAGAAGAATAAATGGCAACATATGAATGAACATAAACTTAAAATTGAAATAAAACACATTTCGTTTTGATGTATTTTACATATAAACAATTGGAGATGTTGGATACACTTTAATGAGACAGCAAGCCAGCAACACAATCACAATATATATCTGGAGTTCATGTCAAACTAGATACAAAAATGAAGATTGTGGTTTACGTTAAAATTTTAATACATATAATATAGTTCGGTTGAAAGTTAGGTACTCTTTTAGGCTTTGATACAATTTGCCAAGTTTATTTAGATTTATTGATTAAGAACTTGTTAATGAATAATTTCTGTATTCCGTGTTTAAGATAATATATCTGTATAAAAATAAGGAGATGTGGTATGATTGCCACTGAGACAACTATTTTTGAAATTTTTCTGATATCTTCTTTTCTTTTCTGGTTATGTCTTTCATGACCACTTCATATGGACTTCCCTCTGTGATAAGTTTGCATGGTAACTATGTAACATTATTTTTTCATTTCTTGCATATTTTTATTGAATAGCATTCTTTTAATGGATCATGACAATAAACATGATATGCATTCTTTTGAAGGTTTACATGGTATAAAATAACGTTATTTTCTGAACTTCAATTTTTGCTGAAATATGATGTTTTGGTACTGCTATGACCTTCTCCATGCTCTTTACAGAACTTTAACATCTATAATAATTGTTTGATAGTGATTCATTATGTATATGTTAAATTACTAAGGTATTTCAAAAGGGCAATATGACAATTATTTAGTCTAGTGCCATAAGATCAAAACGAGCCGATTCCTCCAGGGTAGAAAATGCGTCAAAAGGGGAGACAATGTCCTTGAAAAAAATGCCACATACTGATGACCAGAAATAATGTCATTTTTTTAATAGGTAATAAGTATGCTTCAAATTGGGGTACACAAAAATTCCTCTTCTGTTAAAATGGTGAAAGCTGCAGAGTCACTACTCCTTATAGGATTTATTGCCCTTAAATGACATTTGTTTTTTCATTTTTGCCTATAATCTTGAAAACTATAATAGATAGAGAGAAACTTTAAAATTCAAAAATAATCAGAAAGAAAAGTTCTACAAATAAGTCTAATGGTTGAAATCGTTAGTTGACTCCTTATTAGAGTTATTGCCCTTTAATGACGATTTGTACAATTTTCTTTTCGTTTTTGACTTATATCTTAAAATTATAATAGATAAAAAGATACTCAAATAAGCAAAACTGATCAGCAAGACAAGATACATGTATACAGTTAGAACAAATGGCGAAAATCGTCCGACGACTCCTTATTGGAGAATATATTGCCCTTTAATGACGATTTTTTCCATTTTTTTTTTTTTTGCGTTTTGCCTTATATGATTAAACATATAATTATTATAATAGATAGATGGAAACTTTAATAATCCAAAATGATAAGCAAGACAAGATCTACTAACAAGTCAAATTTTGCCGATACAATTAGTAGACTGTCACTCTTTATACATGTCATAGGAGTGATTGCCCTTAAATAAGGATTTTTTTACTCTCTTATTGTGTTTTGAGCAGACTAATTGATCAGCAATATAAGATAAAAAAAAAAAACAGAGATTTTTGTCATTAATTCTATTCTCGTCTAAAAGTTTGGAGATCGAAGTGTGTTCTTTGTTGAATATGCATATAGACCAAGGGGAGCGACACAGGCTCTATAGAACCTCTAGTCTTTTTTGTTGTTTTTTTTTTTCACTCTTTGACACCTCAACATTTTGCAAAGTTATGTTGTATAAAGAAGAAAGCGGGCTAAATTCTCACAAAGAGAGAAACCTACCAGTGGGCAACCTTTCCGTTTTAGAAGTAATTGCACCACCTTTATTCTTTCTTGATGTTTATACTTTAGACGAAGACATTTACAACAGATTTACATATTCAATGCAAACAGACAGCTTAACAATCAGTGAAAAAGTTATTGAGGTTCTTGAAGCAGAAGAAACAACACTTCTATCTTGTGAAATGACAAGACGGGGACGAGCCATGAAAAAAACAAGACATTTGAACGATTTCTAAATTCTATTAAAATAAGCTTCCTTTACATTAGTTTTTCATGTTTGAAGGCATGATACGAGAGAAAGGGGGTTGGAGAAAAGGGGTTGGAAAAGGAGAAAAAGGGCGGGAGAAAGGAGAAAGGTACCCCCTGTCCGTCCCCTCATGTAAGGTTGGTTGGTAGTAAACAGATTGCCACATGTCTATCACAACAGTTCTGGTCAAACAACAGACATGAACTCATACATTGTAAAATAAATCAAAATAAAAGGTACAAGGTTAACTTCAATAGGACATTGACCTAACAAAAAATAACAAAACAGTCAGTTAAAAGTCAACAGACAGCATTGCACAGCGTGCAATGAATGACAAATGTTCATATCTTGTGGAAAGGATAACATTTTATCTTTAGACTGGTTCTTTTTCTTTATATACAACTACACCATTATGAATAGTGCAAGACTAAGTGTTAATTTACTACTCGACTATGTGCTCATAGTAAAATAAGTGTGTATATGAAAGAAAAAACAAACCACTTACACGAGAAAGAGAAAGATAAGTCATGTTTCCGTGTTTCACAGTTATAATGCATCATGTCGAATCCTATGCTCGTCCCTGATTCTACATACCTGCTAAGTATCAAACTGTTTTCGCAAACAAAAATAGTAACTGATACAGAGTAGACATGCAAGTGAATTACAAGTAATTTACTGATATCATATTGCCAAAAATGGAAACTTGCTTATGTAATTTACAACTAGTTGTCATAAATAATGACCTTATTACAGATCAAATGTGAACACCTACATGTATCTCCAAAACTTGATCTACATGTTAATGCGTGTCGTAGGCATACGGATTATATTTGTATCTGTGGATAAATGTGTCCGTTCCGGAATTTTGTACTACGTTGTTATTGTTAGCTATAAAAGTTCGAGAGTGAAATAAAAACAATATGAGTTATACTGCTTCACATGCTCAAGTGTCATATTCCTAAGTCAGGTGCCTATCAGTCGTTAGTAGTATTTGTCATTTCTTAAACTAATCATTGAATTTCCACTGACATCAGCAATACGATGTGGAGCAGAATCTGCCTACCATTCCGGAGCTCCTGAAATCAGCCTTGTTCTTTGTTGGATTCTAGTTGCTCTATCTTTAGCATTTCCTATGTTGTGTTTTGTAGACTGTTGTTTGTCTTTTTGTTGTTTTCTAACATGGTGTTGTTAGGTTGTCTTCGACTTATGAGTTTAAATATCCCCTTGATATCGTCCGCCCCTCTATTTGTCTTTAAAAGTTATTTTGTAGGGACAATGTTCAAAGAATAATTGAACTTCAGATATATACAATGTACTCGTCGCCAAAAGCATAACATATGATCTTGCGTAAAAACCCAAACAAATCCTAGAAGAAGTTACTAGGTACACTTGCAAACCCTTCTGTCCATCTTATTTCTAGTTGGTCTAATGAATTTACATGCATTTGTGTTTCATGCCAAAATGACAAAACCACCTTTTCCAACTGACTTTTACAGATTTGTATATATATTTTTTGCTTTGACACCATTAAGGGGTGAGCGCCTAAAAACATGGTTTACCCCGCCACACCTATTATATTCCTATCTTAAGTTCGGATCCTAACATTCATTGGTTGTCTTTGCTTCAGGTCTGTCATATTCGTTTTTTGTAATCGTGAATTGTATTGTTGTAAATTAATCGGTAATATTAGTTTGTTTCACATTTTTGATGTCTGGGCCTTTTTAAGCTGACTATACGGTATGGGTTTTTTCATTGTTGAAGGCCGTACGGTTACCTATAAATGCTTACATCCACTTCACTTGAACTCTGTTGGATAGTTGTCTCTTTGGAAATTCCTTTCAATGGAATTACTCGCTCAATCCCTTCTTAACCATTGAAATTGTACTCAATTGAATAATACATTAAATATTACTAAAGTCTTTATCTTCCTTTACATGGAAGAATCATCAAAATATATAATCAACAGAGTTTTCAAAAAAGGGGGATTGCGGTGAGGCAGCTATTAAATATCACTAACTAATCTGCTAAGCAACTGTGAAATTGAGAACATAATTTTCAAAATGTTGGGCTGAATAAAAATATCTTTAATTTATATGGATGGCACTGCTCTGTTTTTTACACAGCCTTCACGTGTAGAAACTTTATGGCAAGGGTTGTTACAATTTAATATTGGAGTAGCAAATCATTTTTTAAAGTATTAACTAAAGACTGGATCGATGATGATTGAATAAATAGATTAGCCACTTACACATTTCAGGCCGTTTCGTTTAGAAATATTTACAATATCATCTTGCGCAATTGGAATGAGTCAATAGGGCGTCAACACATACACATTTTGCTCCGGAATAACTTCATAGTTTCATGGCATACGATCAAGTTGAGTGAAATGTCATGCGTGTGAGCATTCAGTGAATATATAATCCGTTGTTCATATTGTTCAAATATTTTAAAAGCATCTTTAAAAAAGGAGAGACACGATGCCAAATTGAATTAATACATCATAAGTCCAATAAAAACAGACAAACCAGGACCTTAAAAACACAACGTAAGACAAACAATAATAACAGATCACAACTGAGAAAAACAAAGCAACACTGTGCTGTGTAACGCTATGCATATAAAAAAAAAAAAAACGGCATCTGTAAAGTAGTAGCTCATAACAAGTAACAATCTTGTGATACATGTAAATGAAATTTAGGGATGCTCACAGCGCATGGGATTATATATACGAAACATGAGACATCTTAGTTTTCATTTTAAAATGATAACTTATCCGGTCGCAACAATTAATCAAAATGTAATACAATCGATTCAACATACTGCAACATGTGAAACAAAAGCAGACATTTTGCATACAGGTAAAAAACATAATTTCTTTTTTAGTAACACAGATTAATTTTGTTTCACATGGCTGCTTAATAAAAACGCATTGCTGTTTTAAAGAGTTTCCTCCCTTGAACAAGTTCTATTCCTTAATTGATAAATAAAACGGCCTTGTCATCCCGCCTAACTGTTAAAAGGTTTATTTGAATGTTTTTCCATAGCTTGGAATGAAAACAAATGTTGTGATGATTAAACAATCCACTATATTCTTATTCTGATTCCAAAAAAGCAAGCCATCTAAATTTAAATAGATTGACGTATGGCTTAGAGAAGGCAATGCAATTATACATATATATTACTAATGAAGTACAATGCACTTGACCACTTTATTCAAAGTATACATTAATGCATGTAAGAACTTTTATAAGTACATAAAACAATACCTTGACCTCGATTCATACCTATGATACTGAAAAGTCAAACCGTTCTGAAGAAGCAATGTAATCGAAAACTAGAGAGTCAGAGGTCAAGCTGTGCGTGAAAAGAGGGAGAAAATACAACAACAACAAAAAACAGACAACCCCAATAAATCACAGAAAAACAGAAAATCGTGACAAATAAAAATGACGAAAAAAGACAACAACACTCTTGAAAACACAACACATAACACTAAAGATTAGCAAAAGAAATACGGCCTAAACCCGGGTGTGAACTCTGGTGCTACACTGACGGGTCAGCTGTCCTAACTCTTGCACCGGCCGTGTTTCAATGTTTTCATGGTAAATCACTTTGATCAGTCATATCCTTTGATTATGCTTCACAACATAGCAGCTTAGGTATTATCGGACTATCCATAAGACAACATAGTCTATGTTCAGGCTGTTTAGTAGTTGTTATTTACATAAAATTGAGAATGAAAACGGGGAATATGTCAAAGAGAAACAATCATACTAAAGAGCAGACAACAGCCGAAGGCCACCAATGGGTTTTTCAACGCAGCGAGAAAATCCCGCACCCGGAGGTGGTCCTCAGCTGGCCCCTAAATAAAATTGTGTGCTAGTTCAGTGAAAATGGACATCACATTAAACTCCAAAACATATAAATGAACTAAAATTAAAAAAACATACAAGACTAACAAAGGCCAGAGGCTCCTGACTTGGGACAGGCGCAAAATTACGGCGGGGTTAAACATGTTTTGTGAGATCTCAACACTCCCCCTATACCTCTAGCCAATGTAGAATAAAGAAACACATAGCAATACGCACGGTAAAACTCAGTTCAAAAGAAGTCCAAGTCCGATCTCAGAATGAGTAACAAAAGAAACTTAGCAAAATGACAATGATACATAAATGAACAAAGGACTACTAGCAGTTACTGACATGCCTGCTCCAGACCTCAATTAAACTGATATACAGATCATAGACATTCATGTACTAAATTCCCTAAAACTCTACTAAACAGTTCTGAATAGATTACAAGCGAATTGTGTCTAAATTGCACTCAATTTACCGCAGTGGATAAGTCTAAAAATTGCACGAAAGACTGAAAATGACTGATAAATTTATTGTGCAGACATTTCATATGATGTTAAGATCAAAATGACCGTTTAAGACTTTAATTCATTTACAAGTGAACGTAAACAAAATATTATCATCTATCGTGATCATAATATTTTATAAAATGTTCTTACAGTACCTCAATGTTTCTGTCATGTCTTATCTTTGTAGAGCACGATCTTATATAGGTTATTCGTGATTCGATTCTCCAGATAGTTGTCTCACTTTGCTTGGACAAGATGAACATTTTTCTCGCTCTATCACTGGGGGTGTCTCTGGTACTAGCTGTACCGGTGCAGGTAAGGAATACAAATAACTCTTCACAATTGTTTAACTTGAAAATACTTTTTAATTCCTATCATTTAAATTCAAAAATTTAAGTCAGGTTGCATTAACTTTTGTTTCAAGGTTCTACTTATTGCATATGCGTATATTTTTCAATGTTTGTTATCTATATATAAAGTATTTGTGACGCTTCTGTAGTAACCTTACATATTTAAAACATACATTCTGAATGTCCAGTCTTTCGCATCGTGGATACATATATCATATGCTAAAGCTGAAATCGTAATTTGTCGAGGTCCATTGCCAAATAGTTGTTAACATCCTCGTCGCCCTTTCAGCTCTGGCGGATAATTGTCGCATTGGCAATCATACCACATCCTTCATTTATATACAAATTAGTGGAAAATACCAATCAGTTCACACAGATAAAAATTATAATTTTCACTTTCAAACTTTTTTCACATTGAAAAGAATCAGTATGATATGCTGATTTGAATACTAAACGTCGTTATGTTTTTAAATTTGTATATTTAATTTGTTTTTATCTAGGTTGATGGTGAGTCTTTTCTTTTAATAACATTTTTTCTATCCTTCTATTCTTGTACTATCTGGTGATTAATTCTGTTATTGCTTTCTTCTTTATCTTGATTTGCCATTTCTGCCTTTTAAGTTGACAATTTTCAACTTGACATTTCTCATTTTCACGGTTATATATTAATCACTTTGAAGTTGAAACTGAAAATATCAAATTGGAACTGAGAAATTACATTATGGAAGTATGCAATGTAAACATGGAATTGAGAAATTTTTAATAACAGAATGAGCGTACCAGTCACTGGAGTGGCCGGTTTATTTTCATAATTGAAAACCAAAAGTATACTAACAGCGCTTTTTTGTAGCATGTGTTACAGTTGTTCTTCGTCTCAATTCATGAAACAAAATGGCTACACTCACTTGATATAGAAATACGAAGATATCAATAACACAATTGTCTACCAGATACCAAAAAGAAGTGGATTGTAAGCAAAAAAGTACAACAAAAGTACCGAGCTCCAAGTAAAATTCAAAAAGGAAAAGTCCATAAATAATGACAAAATCTAACGCTATCAATCAACGGCACAAGCAAAAAACAACAGCCATTATTTCTGACTTGGCACAGGCATTTTCCGAAGAAAAATGAACTGTAGGATACTGTACGGCATTCACAAAAACTGTATTGTAACTTTTAAAACAATCCAACGTAACACAATGTAAAACCAAATCAAGATAAATCCGATCTGACTTATTACAAAACAACAAACAATAAAGCTAAATATAATGACCGACATAAACCAATGACAACAACACAGGTCCAAATGTGACGAGGTAAACATGTACACCTGGGACAGTTGCGTAACAGCACAACATACTATCTAACTCTTAAAATCATTGAGGAAAGTCTTTCGCAAAAATGAGCGTATGTGCATATTCTTTACTTTAGAGATTTCGATGGAAGGATAAATACATGCTAAATATTGATATTCTGCACAAACACATATGGATTTTTAGTGCTAATACGTTCGCTGGGTTGTTGACATTGGACTTTTTTCTGTTCTTTGGTCGGTTAATTGGCTTTTTGACATATTTCCCGTGTCCATTCTCTATTCTATTCTGAATGTTAGTCAAGTAAATTAGTAGAAATATGCTGATGTCTCATAACAAAAATAAATGTTATAAATAATGACCCAGTGTCAACACCTATCTGCCAAATTTGACCTACATATTTGTGCATGTGGTAGGTAAGAAGATTACATTGTTATCTGTGGTTAAAGGTGTTCGCACCGAAATAATGACTTTTATCATTTCATTGCAACATTTAGTAAGAATCTAGGGAGGAACTTAAATATTATTATTATAACAGTAAAAAAACAATAACAAAAAATTCCGAATTACTATTATAATATTTAAAAGAACATAATAATAGAAAGTATTTAAAAGAACATTATTATAATAATAATTTAAAAGAAAACTATTATAATAATATTATGAATACTAATGATAATTATATTTAAATAAGTTACATTTTTTCAATTACGAGAAATGTTTTATTTACCATTGAATATAAAAAATTAACTGAACTATGCAATTATTTTTTCAGACAATCACCCAGAAGAAGCAGGTAACAATTAAGTAAATTTAAGCGAATTTCAATTTATTTACACAAAAACCATGAAATAAATTTGCATTCATTAATAGTTTATCTAATAAAACTTGTTTTCCAATTCGAATTAAAGCGCAGATCGTTTTAGTAACACTGTAACAGTTGTTGGTAGCACGTTCAGGTCATTTTCAAAGTTGGTCGTAAAAGTGTAAACTTTATATGTAATAGGTGTAATACCAACATTGATTTTCCCCTATTAGTCTTTGTTAAATTTGCACTTTTAAAAAAGATGTCTAGAATTTATCTTTGTTTCAAAAAAAGAAATACTTGGCATGAGTAAAATGGTATCCTCTCCAGTACTATAGACAAAATTTCACATAACATTTAATTGCATATAACAAAATAACCATCACTGGAAGTGCAATCAAATGTTCACCCATATGAGCTTATGCCATCACTTGGCGTCTGTCGTCTGTCGTCGTCGTCGTCTGTCGTCGTCTGTCGTCGTAAACTATTCAAAAAAATCTTCTCCTCCGAAACTACTCAGCCAAATACCTTCAAAATTTAACTAAATGTTCCATAGGGTATCTAGTTTATAAATTATATCCGAAATTTTGATCCATCGACAAATATGGCCACTATGGCTAATAGAACATAGGGGTCAAGTGCAGTTTTTGGCTTATATCTCAAAAACTAAAACTTTTAGAGCAAGATCTATCAGCACTGAAATTTTCAGACGAATAGAACAACCCATTGTTGGGTTGCTGCCACTTAATTGGTAGTTTTAAGGAAATTTTGCACTTTTTTGTTATTATCTTGAATATTATTATAGATAGATATAAACTGTAAACAGCAATAATGTTCAACAAAGTAAGATCTACAAAAAAAAAAAAAAAAAAAAAAAATTGTCAATTGACCCCTTAAGGAGTTATTGCCCTTTAAAGACAATTTTACACAATTTGTTCATCAAGTTTGCTAACATTTAAAAATCTTCTCCTCTGAAACTATTGTTCCTAATACTTCTTAACTTTAAATGAATGTTCCTTTAGCAATTCAGTTTATGAATTGTATGCTAATTTTTGATCCACCAACAAACATGGCCGCCATAGCTAAAAATAGAACATAGGGCTCAGATGCAGTTTTTGGCTTATATCTCAGAAACTAAAGCAATTTGAGCAAATCTGACATGAGATAAAAATGTTTAAAAGGTCAAGATCTATCAGCCCTGAAATTTTCAGACAAACTGAACAACCCATTGTTGGGTTGCTGCCACTAAATTTGTTATTTTAAGGAAATTTTGCAGTTTTTGGTTATTATCTTGAATATTATTGGAAATAAAGATATACTGTAAACAGCAAAAATGTTCAGCAAAGTAAGATCTACAAAAAAGTTTTTATATGACCAAAATTGTCAATTGACCCCTTAAGGAGTTATTGCCCTTTAAGGACAATTTTACACAAGTTGTTTATGTTTTTGAACTTTAAAAATCTTCTCAAATGAATCTAGTATAAATTTTGTATTTTATTTCCTTGTACGTCAAGAAACATAGACACTATGGCTCAAAAGAAACATATGGGTAAATTGCATTTACTTGCTTTTGAAGAAAATATGACAGATACAATGAACATTTAAATGGCATTTTTAAGCCACTCATTAATATATATTGAAAAGCAAAAATAATCATTGATGGAAGATTTAAGCAAACAAATAACAGGTGAGTGATTCAGGCTCTTGAGAGCCTCTTGGTTCCTGTGTACAAGCTTTAGTAACCATGTAACCTCAAGTAACCAAAATATTCTACAGAAACACCAAATAAAAAAAATAAGGGTGCTTTGAAACACCCAAGATATATTATTTATGACCCAGAAATTTTTTACTGCTATGAAAAAAGGATTAATTTCCTACAACTGTCAAATTAAAGGGAATATTTTTTTCGACCCTTTTTCGTATGCAACCGGATGTGACGTTCTATGATTTGGTGGTATTACACCTGATAACATGGATAATGACGAAAAGCTGATTTTCAAACCAGAAGTCTTAAAACCTAAAGATTTTTGTTAGTAACAAACATTTTCATTTTTGTCAAATCAATGCAATAGAAATATAATTCAGTTTTATATGTTTTGCAGGATTTTTTGAAGGTGATATAGAGATAGAACCAGGAGAAGAGCCATATGTAAGTATGACTGGTAATTTTTATTTCACTATATTCAGGAGAAAACCTGAATAAATGGCATGACTCTAGACTTTACTAGTACTTTTAAGTCAACTATTGTCATAAATTTATTCGAAGCTTCTAATTGACAAAGTTTATTTCAAATCTGTTTTAAAAAGTACTAATGAAATGAAATTGACTATTAAATATACATTACCAATTTTAATAATGATTTCACTTAATCCTTGTTTATTCCTTTTAGTATACAACTATATAGAGCAGATACTTTGAACAAAACAAAATATTGATTTAAGTGTGTATTTTCTTATAAAATCGGAACAGAAAGTTCTACAACAACGGATGAGGTCAACAACTATTTAAGAGTTCAGTTAACAAATCATTGCATGTGCCTTTCTTTAAGTATTACATGTACCGATTCTCTGTCGGTATTTGAATACAAAAAATAAGACCACTAGCGATTGAACGGCACTATCAATTAAATTCGTGTTACACAGTCCTGCGTCGTTCGGTCATGCGTTGTTTTATTTTTGATATTCAATTACTTTTTTATTTTATATAGAAACCAAACATAACTGCGATTACTCTCAGATATGTACTAGGTGTTTTTGTGTTGTGTGGATGTATAAGTACCCGTCCACGTCCACTCTGTGTTTTTTAGATGCATTTCTATTTGTATCCATCTGATGAGTTAAGCCTTTTTCGACTGATTTTTATAGTTTGTTCTTATGTTGCACTGTTACACCACTGTCCCATGTTAGAGGGAGGGTTTGGCGCCAACAAACTATTTTAACCCCGTCGCATTCTGTATGTGCCTGTCCAAGTCAGGAGCGTGTAATTCAGTGGTTGTCGTTTGTTGCTGTGTTACATATTTGTTTTTCGTTCATTATTTCACTATGATACATTAGGCCGTTTTTTTTCTCGTTTGAATTGTTTATCATTTGTAATTTCGAGTCCTTTTATAGCTGACTAAGCGGTATTGGCTTTGCTCATTGTTGAAGGCTGTACAGTGACCTAAAGTTGTTAACTTCTGTGTCATTTGGTCTCTTGTGGAGAGTTGTCTCATTGGCGATCATACTACATCTTCTTATTTTTATATAAAAACTCTTTCCTGTGTTGCTGGCATTATTTGGATTCACTTTATACATTGTCAATTTCACTGCAATCTTTTTTTGGCGGATGAATAAATATGTAAGATTAATGCAGATTCTTGAATATTTGCGAATCAAAAATTGTTAATAGTGTTTTACTAGTAGTTAATTTCTAAATACCTTTTTCGTGAAATACTAAATCTTTATATAAAATTAAGGTAAAGTCACGTCTGGGTTTTTGTTTTTTGTCGAGTATAATTTTGAAAACCAACCAACCAACCAGCCAGAAAGAAAGAAATACACAAGCATGAATAAAACCACACTAATAAACTAAATACAGTTTGACATTATTATTTGACATCACCAGGATTATTGTTGAACATATTGAATAATTTATCTTGCAAATAAAACATCAGTATTGAATGTGATTGAGGATAGTCATACATTTGACTTACGTTCAGGTGATCTTCTGAAAATTCTAATTTTCTTGTTTCTCCAAAGAACGTTTGATATATATTGATTTTGATTTTGTTTTTGTTTTTCTTATTTTGAACCATCTTTTAGAAGAAAAACACAATACAATTACACACTCAAGAGACAAGTGTCGCCTTGGCTGTTTCCGACGTACAATAAAGGTCAAAGATACCAACGGACATTCAAACTCATAAATCTAAAATAAACTGACAACGCCATGGCTAACAAAAAAAAAAGAACCAAGAAACAAGCAATAGTACACAAAACACAACATAGAAAACTAAAGACTGATAAACACGAACCCCACCGAAAAACTGGGGGTGATCGCAGGTTCTCCGGAAGGGTAAGCAGATCCTGCTCCACGTGTGGCAAACGTCGTGTTGCTCATGTTAGTACAAATCCGGTAATAATTCTAATTCGGTAGGTCACATTCGACATTTGGAACATATATTAATGAGAGTAATTTTATATTCATTGTATACAAACCTGTATTTCTTGTTCGTACATTTTTTGTTTGTTATAGTTGAGAAATGCTGTTGCTAATCACAGACTGCTCTGGCCACATGGTGTTGTTCCATGGACCATCGATTCAATCCATTCAAGTGAGTAAATTGCTTCAGGATATCATCAGTTGCTCGAGATAATTTTGAAAAAATACATGTGCAAAAAACAAATATATATCTGAAACATACTTTGGAACTACATGTACTGAAAACATGATATTGTATTTCCGAATTTGTCGACTTTTTAATTTCGATTCCCTTAATGTTCATTATATAAATAACACATAGCTGAGAGGGTGATAGAGCAGATTGTTACCCCGAGAAAACATTGTCAACTAAGGCGAAGCCAAGGTTGACAATGTCTTTTCGAGGGGTAACAATCTGCTCTATCACCCTCTCAGATATGTGTTATTTAATTTATTATACTGAATGTATTGTTATTACTGTCTATAAAATTTCAAATTCAAAGTAATACACTATGACGTCTTGAACATAACAATCATCCGTATTTATAAAAGCGCACAATTGACCAAGCGTCTCTGTGAAGGGTAATAGAGTATGTGCCATGGGATAGAGTAAATTGTCTCACTCGTATTAACCAATCAAAATCTAGCATTTTGACATGAAGTATAATAATTTTTTTTGTGCACTTAGGACAAGCTTCTCACGTCCAGGTTTTCCACGATGCCATGAACGAAATTATGGAAAAGACAAAAGTAAATGGAAAGAAATGCATTGACTTTCAACCACGCAAAGCGGAACATGGATATATGCAATTTACTTACGGAAGTGGGTAGGTACAGATTGTCTCAGTTAGTTCAATATTGAATTTGCAGAAGACTGGTTCTTCAACTCTTCAAGTGGTATCTTAGTTAAATGTACGTAAAAATATATTTTAGAAGTTTACTTGGAAATATTAACAGTTATTTGTAAACAAAATCGAAACATTTAGCAGAGGTTACATTTTGTTTATGCCACTGATATTATAGAATTTGATCGAGATAGGACTATAATTTCCAAACTTTTTAGATTGCTGGTTCGATTAGTAAAGCCCTTTCCAACTGATTGTTATAGTTTGTTCTTATGTTGTGTTGTTACGACACTGTCTCAGGTAACGGGAAGGTTGGTTGCTAATAAACATCTTTATCATACCATATTATTTAAGTGTCAGTCCCAAGTCAGGAGCCTATTATTCAGTGTTTGTCGTTAGTTGTTGTCTGTCTTATTGATTTTTCGTCGTTTGTTGACATCCTAAATCAGGCCATTGGTTTTCTCGTTTGAACTAATCTATGTTTTGTCATGCTTGGGCCTTTTTTGTATCTTTTTATTTCATCTGAATAAACTCTAAGCATTGAGATACATAGATATATACATGATTTATAATTTAATTATTATATTTAATTTGTCAATAGCAGTATATAGCTAAAATGATAGGTACGCTAATTTAATGCATATATATGGTAATTATCTATTAGATTATACTCATCTTTTATCACTCTGGAATACCTTACATGAATACGCTGAAAAAGTCAATGATGGCATTGACCTTCTCCTCTTACCACATGCATATCTTTCAATGCAATGATGTCGGAAATGAGAGGCCACAGGAGTGGCCACCAGAGATCATTAACATATAAGGGTCAGACAGGACATGTTGGATAGAATAACAAAGTAAATAACAACCAAAGTCAAGAAGATACAATTCAAATACAATAAAACAAAATCAAGTATATTTATATATATGCTGGGGCATTTTTATGACTATTATACGGTATGAATTTTTCTCATTGTCGAAAATTGTTATCATATTCGTCTTTTGTCTCTGATGAATACTTGTTCTCAATTGGCAATCAATTTAAATATCCTTATTTTATACCAGTATTATACACATATCATTGAGATAGGATGTGAATGAGTTAAAATCTGTCCTCATACAGATGGGCATCCGTAAAACGTTTATATGTAACAGCGAAATACGCCATGATGACAATCATGAATAGATGACGAACATTTAACATCAGAAACCTTTAGTATATGTTCCTAGTACATACAACAGTAACCCTAACTATCAAGTCTAAAAATAGAAATCAAAATATCTTTACTATCGTATCAACTGATCTATACAAAATTTGCAAGTGGTGTTAGAATGATTCTAAACAAAATTGGAAACATTTAAGTTCTCTGTTATGAATTTGGATCTAAAATCTAGTTCTAATGGTGGATATCCAGGTGTAGACTTAACTTAGCTATAGGGAGAATAGCATACAACAGAAACTTGAATTAATTAGCAGGGTTGTGCTCGTAACTCTTTACACAAAACATTGCTTCAACAGATCTAGAGGAATAAAGAATACGACTTAATGGATTAATGAGATTTGAACAATCTTCTGATGCCGAAATGTAAAACATACATTATTTATTTAAAGATGCCACACACCAATTGGCTATCACAGTACACGCAGATCTGACGTCACATTAGGTACTGGGTGTCTACGTAAAGGAACAGTTATGCATGAAATCCTTCATGGTTTAGGATTCTGGCACGAACAAAGCAGAGCAGACAGAGACAACTACGTCACTGTTCACTGGAAGAATATTCAAACAAGTAAACACAAACATATTATTATTACTAAAAAATATTTTGAAAATGCTTAAAGAACACAAAGTACAGTTGACTTATGTTTTCCCTGAGGCTACATTGGTATAGTATCGCATCCTAATCACAGTATGTCAACTATTTTGACGCTGCAATTCAGCTCTGTTCAGCGGTTATTTTCTAACTAATTCCTTTAATATCTCATCAAACAAAAGTTAAGCCCAGATAACCCAAATAGGAAAACTGAACAAAATCAAGTACCATAAATTATATGACAGTTATTTGTTTCATCAAAATGATTGAATTTATCATTTAAAGACATGTATGAACTATGATAGCTTACTTAGCAAAAAGTAAAATTCGCCTAGATGTAAACGCAGTATGTACTTTTTTTCTAGGTTTTGGTTTTGGTATTGGTGTTGTTTTTGTATAGGAGATAAAAACTTATATGTAAAAACCCGTTTATACTTGAATAACAAAAGAGTAGCTGCAGCGTATATATGAGATACTTATAAGTATTAAAAGTAATAAAATTAGCGGAACAGGGCTTTTATCCTCTCTGAAGTAATGACAAATATTATTAAAAATTCAAATAAGTTTAAACCCAAATGTTGTTGTTCTTTATGTTCGATCCACATATCCAGATGCATAGCATATTCTATTTTTCGCATTGTACTGTTTCTGTATAAATTAAAAGGGTAGTATGTTTTCAATATTTTCTTGCTTGCAGGTCATGCACGTAACTTTGACAAGTACCAATTAGGCACCCAGATTGATCATTTGGGTATGCCATACGATTATGGATCAGTAATGCATTATCCAGCCTTTGCATTCGCCATTGATAGACACCAAATGACCCTTGAACCTAAACAAAGTGGAGTTACCATTGGACAAAGAGTAAGACTGAGCGAAACTGACGCCAAAGAAATTCAGATTTTATATGGTTGCATACCAAGAGGAAGTGTTGGTTCATTCACATCTGCACCTGGCGCAACAACTCAAGCACCACAAGTTTCACACGTTTCTACACCAAGTAAGATTGCTACCTAGTGTAATACAAGTCATATACTATAAACTTAAAACATACTAATTATATAATTGTTGGTCGATCACAAAAAGCAATGTTTCGTCTTTTTGTTCTTTTGCTTTTTCTTGATGAGATGTGTTAGTTATGCTTTTTTTTATGATCTTATATTGCATAAATTATTTGAATTGTTGGAATAAATATATTTCAACCCCAAATTAAAACCGTTCCTATATGGGGAACAGTAGGACACTGGTAAACTAACGTCACAATATAACAGATATAATATTATATTATGGTTTATTCTAGATAATCACTGTTAAAGGAAAAGGTACAAATGTTTTATATGAGCCCTTATCTGAATTCCAAAATAAAAGTAACATTTTTCAACCTTTTTAAAATTATGTTAGTTTTATAAAGGTATTCTCACTTTTGGTACCAAGCTGAATTTTGTCTCCGAATGACCCTTGATTTGTATACGAATAACATTCTGACGTCAGGCAAAACTCACTTTTTAATAAGGACGTCGGATTTAAAAAAAATGTGATGTCAAATTTTACGGGAACTGTGTGATTCTAAGTAATGGCAGACAGATTTGCATGAATACTGTTCTACGTTGACCGCTAGATATTATTTGGTTCTTGTGTCGGCGTCAAGTCATTGACGAACACCAACGTCTCCTTTTATGCGTACAATCAATTTACCGATATCATTCTATAATTCTAAGACATAGCTTGGAGACAGTCCAATATTCAGTGCCTTGCCAACGAAATGATTTAAAACATTCATTTCTTAGAATTATCAATTTAAAAATGATTCAAAAACTAAGGTTCAAACTCCCTCAGGCAAAGTAAACTTTATATGCATTTGGCTTTTCTTGTTTGGGTTTTTTAAATGTCATATAACTGCTCTAGTGATTTTTCATCGTTAATTGTCAACTGTTTTGGATTTGTGGGTTTGTGGTGAGAATAAATCCATTGAGGTGCCGCGGACGCACGAACGTTATAAATGTTTTCTTAATTGATCATTTAATCCGTGAATTCTAGGCTCGTATATTATTATGTTGAAATAAAAGAAGCCGAGTTTATATCTAGCGATACCCAATTCTCACTCGTCATTAAACCTATATTTATATGCTCTTGTGTAATAGGGAGATACCTTGATATCCACGAAATTTCGATATGCAATAACGGTTTAAAAATAATGTCGTATTTTTTTTGCAGATCCTCACATAACAAACCAAGGTAAGTTTTAGTATATTATATTTTTTTTATAATAGCTACTGAATTGTTATATTTCATGTTATTTGCTTAAATGTTTTTAGCTTTATGATAACTATATCGGACACCAGATACTCTGACCACTTATTCATTTCAAATATAAGCACAATGATATGGGCTCGCATACGATGTTTAAACTAGTAAAGCGTAAATACAGGATAATGTTTGTAACATAAAATTATGATTCCACTGGAAAAAGAGGCTGAAGATTCCAAGGATTTATTCAATTTTCATTCGAAGGTTGAAGATAAATAACAACGTCATGGCAACAAAAGAAAGACAACAAAAAGACAAATATGTTCACAAATCAATATTGTAACATATAGAATAGACTGATCAACAGGAACCAGACAAAAAACGTTTTGGTTGGGGGTTCCTGGAAAGTAAGCAGATCCTTCTCCACTAGTGGCACCCGCCATGTCGCATGTTCTTATTATAGTTAATGTTTGAATAAACAAATAAGTTACTGATAATAAATAATAAAATGACAAAACAAATAAATAAATAAATAAATAAATAAATAAATAAATAAATAAATAAATACTCACTAAGTTTAATTTTTGAGGTCTATAGAATCTTAAATTTTACATTCTACAGCTGCAACATGTTCCTTTGATGCTGGTTTGTGTGGATGGTTACAGTCCACAAGTGATAATATTGACTGGAGAACTGGTAAAGGCAGTACACCAAGCCGAAACACTGGTCCACATGCCGACCATAGCGGAACTAGCGGAGGTATAAATTGATAGTGCTATTGGAATTTCTATGTATTTATTTGGTCCATTTTTTCTTTTATTTCTGATACTTTTGTAGTACATTAGCTCTGTGTTAAATGTCGAAATTTAATCAAATTGAGTTCAGTCTGAAAAATACGCACGAAATTTTGATACTTTATAACGAATCTATGCATTGTTTATGGTTTCATTTGGAAATTGTAGTCAATTAGTTAGGCCTGATTGCGGCATCTAATAACGATTTACATGTACTGATTTCATTATCGTCATAAAAATCGTCAAGTTAACTTTTAGCATGTACTGTGTACGAAATGTCATACATACATAATTCTATATCCATCATTCCAAACGTTCACTCATAAAAATAAACTAAAATATTTCTCTTACAGGACATTATTTGTATTTGGAAGCAAGTGGACAAACGAACAAAAACGCCATCATTGTGTCCCCACAATACCAACCTGGAACTTACTGTTTCTCAGCATGGTTTAATATGTATGGTCATGAAATGGGCTATATTTATTTTGAACTGCTTATTGGGAGTAGGAAACATGCGATGAGGTCCTACCACGGTGACCACGGTGACAGATGGATACATTTCCAGACTCAAATTAATGTTCATGGATCCCATGCATTCAGTGTAGGTTTAATACTTCCACATTCTTGTTAGCAATATTGAATTAGAATACTCTATTTATTACCAGTCTCAAGAGTTCTTTTCTAAACGCATTTGTTTCGCTTACAGAAATTACTATAAAGCGTGTATATTACCCTTCCTGACTGAAATTCATGAAAATATCATGTCATGATTTTTAAGGCTACTAATTAATACGGTCATCTGCATAGTTTTCAACAAACGCAAACTCTCCATGAGTTGAATTGTATGTTGTTATTAAAGGATACACACGGTTACCTGTAAATTCCTATCTTTGATTCGTTTTAACTTCTTCTAGAAATCTAATGCGACGTATTTTACCAATCTTTTTGTTTTAATATTTTGATATTAACATTTCAGTTCCAAATTGAAGGTAGAACAGGAACTTCATATCACAGCGATTTGGCAATTGATGATGTATCTGTCACACCAGGAGCCTGTAGTCATGGTTAAAATTAGGAAATGGTTATTAAAATTATTAAAATTTCAAATATTATCAAAGCGTCTTCTTTCTTATTTCCTAATTTAAGGGAAAAGTGGGAAAAAATAACAACATGCCGCTCATATTTGAAAAGCATACATCTCAAATAGACTTCTGACTAAGATATATTCAATTTGTTTTTTGTTTTACTTAATATTCATTTCCCTAGAGCATTTTAATAAAAAAAAAATGCATTTTCCCGCCTTAAAAATATAGTGTTTGAATATGTGACTTCCAAAAACAAGTTCTATCACACAGATATTACATAATTTGATTAGTTCTACATTTGTCTTTTAATTTTATTATGCAAACTGTTCTACAACACATATTAGACACTTTGTAATTCGGTATAAATCAAGAAGAAACGTACCGTACTTGTTGAGTGAAGGACTGTTTTATTCTCTATTTAACTGAAAACCCTGTGTCAAAAGTGTTGCAAACTCAAAGATAAATATATAGATAAATTAGAAATAAAAAAAAGGCGTAATAAAATTAACTGATGGCTGCGTAATGTCCAGGGCAAATATTCCACCTCCAAACCGACCAGTCTTTGGTTTAACTTCTGAGTGAATGTGAATGTGTTGAGCAGAGACGACACAATTTTAAGTCTTATTTTGAATTGGTCAGAGTATTTCAACCCCATCCAAAAAAAGAAGGCAAGCACTCTATCGCGACACAACAAGGATCAACAAGATTGGTTGGATAAAAATGAAATATTGAATAAACCAATATGTTTGTACATATATTGTTTATTAGATGAAGGAATAACGGTACATACAACTTATGATATTTTGGGTATAAAACAATACAATTTCAATCGTTTGAAAATGTTATGTACAAAGCAAAAATAAATAATATTCACAGAATAATTCTACAACATCAACAAATGTTTTCAATTGGTGTTTTAGTTAAAAATGCTTATAAATTAAAATGTCTTCGAAATAATTTTTATCTGAATATTTTTTATAACAAAACTGATATGACACACAGGTAAACAGATTGTTTGCACTGTGAAAATGCCGCAGTTTGAGATATGATATCATTTTTATTTAATAGAAACTTTGAACTTTTGTACGTCTTCTTAATCTTCAAAGTCTTTTGATCTCAAAATTGTTGAAGTTGCTTGATTGCTTAAACTTTCAAAATTTCAAAAATTTTTGTGTCCGTAATAAAAGACATAACGCACCTTATGAGAAATGAAATACAAATGAAAAATTAACCATGATAACACATTTTTTACATCTAATTTCAAATATTTTTTTTAAAACTTGCTTACTCAAGTGCATTCACCCATCCACCATTCTCGTTTACACAACCATGCATACAACGCAGTTCAGTAGATTATAGATTATTACAGACTTGAAGTTATTTTTTTTTGGGGGGGGGGGGGATTTCTATGATTTGTACTTTACATAGTTTTGCAGGTCCAATTTTGTCATATAGTTCATCACATGATTAGGTCTTATTGACTTTCAAATTTTAGAGTTGGAATGCATTTTCATCCAGAAAAGCGCGTCGGACGCAAGTAACTGATATTGGTATTTTAATTTACATAATATGTTCATTTTGTTTCAATTTTGTTTGTACTTGTTAAATCTATAAAACTTTTAAAATCTCTCGCAGTATTCATCCAAACATCATTGTAAACAGTGTTGTAAGTTTATTGCATTACTATGCTTATATTTAAAAGTTCCATAATACAATGCACCATTTGATCAGAAATAATATTTTGAGAGTATCAACACCTTTTTGATACTTTACACGCACTATTTCAAATCATCTTCATATCAAGGTACTCAATATATATAATTATATAACCATATGTAGTATAGTTTTTTTTTTCAATACGCCTACTACGAGGTGTAAGGGTAAGTAGGTTCTGTATATATAACATTGTCCATGATAAAGACTTCTACTAGTTCTATATTTAATCCTGGTAGCAGAGCAGTCAATTTATAACGTTATGGTGTATATGATAAAAATTAAATAAAAGTTGAAGTATCATCCAACAGCCCCTTTTGTAGTCTCTCGAACCCAGTCGACATACAGTGGTACTTCAGTGTATACGCCTGGAACATTTACAGCACATCCAATACCCCAAGAAATAACTCCGGCTAGGTACCAAGTATCTAGTGTTGCGTTTTTTGGGCACAATAATGGTCCACCGCTATCACCCTGTAATAAGATTGAAAGTTATATGTAACCTAGAGGAGAGACTATTTGGGCAAGGGAGATAACGGCATATAAATCTGTTAAAGGTTTGTAATACACTATTTTATATAAATGTTTTTCAAACATTCATATGAGACAGAACAAAAACTATCTGCGTTCTTTATAAACAAAGAATAAAATTACTAACACTAACAAACACGTGATTTTTAAGAGTTGCGTTTTTTATTAATGCTTCATTACTGAAAGGGACATCAGCAGTCAAATTCATGCTCACCGATTCGACTCAAATTCTTACATTTTATTTATAGCATACTTAAACGTGTATCCAAATTTCAAAAAGAAACAACTTACATTACATAATATACTCGTTATAATGTATCAACATTTCGTGTGTATTTTAGGCTAGACGCCATTTTATTAACCATTGAGATGCATTCCGTATGTCATAAGGCTTGATGTAAACATAGATACATATATAAATACACAAACACATGCAACCGTATAATGACGATTTGCCTAGGTCTGCTTGATTTCATGTTATATATTGAAAAATTAAGTATATCATTGTTTTACCTTTATTAGAATGAATAGTTTTTGTGGCCAACAGTCAACAAAAATGTTTTACTTGGTGGCTGCCTTGTTTCACTTTTCAATGTTGATATTCTTTTTATTTCTATTTCAAAAAATGCTTAGCTCATGCCTAACTAATCCCAAAGTAAAGGTAAAATTGAAGTTCGCATGAATATGAATTCAAATGAGTTGAAATATTAACGCAAAAGCCAATAATACATCAGCGAAATATTTGAGCCTATTCTGACAATATTAAACCAAACTGACTGCTGATAGCGAAAAATTATTTCAATATTCAGCTTACATAAATGTTTGAAACGAAAATAGATCATATTTTGTGTTTTTTTAAACATAGTAGCTAATGCCCATTTTTTAAATATTGACTACCTCGAAACACTTTAAAGTTAAAATTTTTCATATCGAATGTCTTAATTTTCTTGTTTTTGATATGTTATCGCTATTTATTAAATAAGAAATATCTAGTATATACCAACCAACCAATTAATAAATATGTATACATTAAGGAAGCACAAATGAACCAATTCAGACATTGTGGCTGAATTATTCGAAAACGATTGTATCAGACGTTCTGATTGGTACAGACTGTGAAGAGAAGTTTATTAGAACGGAAGTTGAATTTCGGACATGGTCCATTAAACTGGCAAAATCTCGATCCAAAGTCTTTGAAATAACACGAATAAGAAAGTGACTTCCATTATAGCATATAGACTGTAACGTTCATCATATAACACAATAGTTTCCTGAGGTAATATCGAGACATAACAAAATTTTTTATAGCTCATAAACGACTAAAGAAAACAAAAATACGTATAAAAGAGATCTTATGTGTAATACCACCAAATCATAGTACGTCACATCCGGTTGCATATGAAAAAGGGTCGAAACAAAATATTTCCTTGAATTTGACAGTTGTAGGAAATTAATCCTACATTTCATTGCAGTAAAAAATTTCTGAGTCATAAACATGTATCTTGGGTGTTTCAAAGCACCCTTATTTTTTTATTTGGTGTTTCTATAGAATATTTTGGAAACTTGAGGTAAAATGCATATGGTTACTGAAGCTTGTTTACAGGAAAAAAAGAGGTAAAAATTTGAGTGGTTACAAATGTAACTTCCAGTGATGGTTATTTTCTTATATGCTATGAAATGTTATGTAACATTTTGTCTATAGTTCTGGACGGGATAAAACTTTATTCACGCCAAGTATTTCTTTATTTGAAACAAAGATAAATTCTGCACATTTTTTGTGAAAAAAAGTGCAAATTTAACAAAGACTAATAGGGGAAAATCAATGGTGGTATTACACGTAAAAGAAAAAAAGTCTGCGTCAAATGCAACAAACCAAAAAGTTTAAGTCTTAAAGCCCTGTTAAAAAACTTGTTTGGAATGTAACTTTGTCAATCTTTCTTAGATCTTAGTTATGTTAGAACTCAATACCTGTAAAACTGACTTGATCAACTGGTTAACATGTTTACAGATACCAAGCTACAATCATGATATCTTCAATCGATAAACTATATTTTTCATATTCTTCATATATTAATTGAAGTTGTTATCTGAACGAGCGTAAGGTCATTTTGACTGAGAGTATATTCACTTGGCAGCTGAATAAAATTGAGAATGGAAATGGGGAATGTGTCAAAGAGACAACAACCCGATCATAGAGCAGACAACAGCCGAAGGCCACCAATGGGTCTTCAATGCAACCAGAAACTCCCGCACCCGGAGGCGTCCTTCAGCTGGCCCCTAAACAAATATGTATACTAGTTCAGTGATAATGGACGTCATACTAAACTTCAAATTATACACAAGAAACTAAAATTAAAAATGATACAAGACTAACAAAGGCCAGAGGCTCTTGACTTGGGACAGGCGCAAAAATGCGGCGGGGTAAAACATGTTTTTTGAGATCTCAACTCTCCCCCTATACCTCTAGCCAATGTAGAAAAAACAAACATGCATCACAGGAGACGATAAACCTGCTGAAACACCCACTGTTGATATAGTTGGAGTTATCTGTGACTCCCTCAGTTTATTTTTATCTTGTTTATGTGTTTTCAAATTGATACGAGTTTTGAGTATGATTAAAGTTGCCTCTTATTTACATGACCTCGACAATTGCTATTGCATAAACCAAGGGTGAGGAACATCAAACTAAACTTTTGATTTATTTCAAAAAAGAGGAAAATGATATCCTTAAAGGTCAAACATATCAATCAAATGTTCAGTTAAGGTTTAATGAGCTGTAGAGACCTAGTTTCCATGATTAAATTTAAACCTCACCATACACGGTCAACTTTTATCTTTCATTTAAGTTATCAATGTTAACAATCTATTATTCTTAAGATTCCCTATGACAAAAGTGTTTCAAATTAATATATACAACTTCAAGAACAGCACGACTGAGAGTTCGTATCAGCACGATAGTGCTGAGTACTGGGGTGATTACTTATAAATTTATAATTTTAACCGGAACTGCAAGAAATTAACATTTTTAAGTGTTTGAGACTTCACAAATATAAATCAATTTATGATATCATTAAACCTAAATCGCATGCTGATTCTGATTTGTTGGCTATATAAAAAATGACAGGAATAGTATTTGAAACGATTACTGTGGATTCATTTATTTTCGTGGTTACCAATTTTCGAGGATTAAGGAAAACTTGCATGTTCGTGGATATTTAATTTCGTGGTTTTGTCGAAGTCTGTATACAAGCCTATAAAAAAATTGTCATTCGTTGAACATCTAATTTCGTGGTTCGCCTGTACCCACAAAATCCACGAAAATTGGTATCCAACGAATAATAATGAATCCACAGTAGATGATTGTTGAAGTTGCAAACTAAGAGAAATGTTTGGAAAAAAGTAAAATCACAAAAATACTGAACTCCGAGGAAAATTCAAAAAGGAATCAAATGGCAAAATCAAAAGCTTAAACACATCAAACGAATGGATAACAACTGTCATATTCCTGACTTGGTACATTCATTTTCTTATGTAGAAAATGGTGGATTGAACGTGGCCTTCTTCATAGGACTTATGTTGATCATTTGTACCCTCTTATTGCATGAATGTTTTTGCCACGCTGAGTACATGATTTGTCGAAATCAATAAAGACCCTACGTATTCTAACCTGACACGCATCATGGTCAGGTCCTCCACTAGCACATATCATATTATCTGTAAGTTTGTACGATGACTTGACCGGAGATGTTTCTATTGCATTTTTACAGGAATCCCAATTTTCAATGTTCAAAATAACTTCCTTTAAAGCTCTTTCATAGTCAGTTGCTGAAAAAACCAATTGCAAAATATTGATATGTAAATAGCATGTTATATTTCAATAACAAAATGTTCATAACCATTTGTTCATTCTATTAAAGTGCTAATTTTGTGTTCAACTATGTTAGGAGCTTGGGTTTTATATTTTTTCTACTAGTTAAATTTGTACCGTTAATGTTAGTACAGTTTAGATATGTAATTAGTAAGTTGAATTTTTGTTTGCCTTATTGTTAGATAAACCATGAACAATTTATCAACCAGTGCATATAAAAAACAAACTTGTGAATCTGTTTTTTAGTTCCCGTATTGTTATCTTCCAAATGATTTATATAGTAAAAGGAAAACATGCGCCAGGAACGACCATGCTCAGGATTAAAAGTAACATGTCAATCTACCAAATCTAGAAGAGGATAACCTGTATTGTTTTAAATTTGTTTATGAATAATATAATACGGTATCATTTTTCAAAATGAAACGGCCGATGACTATTGATGATTTCATTTAGGGGAGAATAAGGAGTTTTATATTTTTTTGAAATGAAAGTTTACAGTTAATTATTTCATATCCCTTTTTACATGTTTTATCCAGTCCTTCAAAATGTTACTTTTGATCTTAACAGCATGACATCATCAAAACTATATTTGAGATTGTTTTATTGATTTTTTGTTCCACAACATTTCTTTCAGTATTGTTTCATACAGGTATTTTTGTAAATAATGCAAAATGTCAATAGAAAGATGTCTCGTTGGTAGTTTTGGATGAACTTTTAGATATCTAAAACATAAACTACGAGAACCTTTGAACTTAGAAATTCTAAGTCATATATGAAACAAGGAAATGCATTACTTAATTGTTTAAAAATTTACCATTTTTTAAAACAATCCTAAAAGCAACATTTTCATGAACTGCTGTCATAAATCTGTACCATAATAAAATATATTTGAAGTACTGCCTTCTATGCTGAAAATACTATTAGCAAGACACTTACCTGTTTCATCTTTTCTACCCCATCCGACCGCATAACATCTTGTTCCAGCTGGTGTCTCTTCATTACGTTCTGGCAGGCAGACAGGACGGAGGTAGTCATTAAAATAAACAGGTTCGTCTAATTCTATCAATGCTATGTCATTGTCTACGGTTATAGGGTTGTACTTTGGATGTGGGTAGAGATTTTTAGCTTTTCTGATTTGACGATACGCTGAATATGCATATCGCCTAGTTGCTCCTATCTTCAATGTAATTGTCGATGCATCCTTATTTCTAAATATCAATAAAATATGCATATAGTAATATTTATTTATAATAATTGATATAATGAACGTTGTAAAGCAATAATTTGCATAAATATAGGAGAAGCAGGGTAAACGTCAATATGACAGTAACCAATCTTCACAAAATGAATGAGGCCTCGGTGGCCGAGTGGTCTAAGTAGTCGAACTACTGTATCACTAGCCGAGGTGAGTTCGAAACCCGCACGTGGCAGGTGCCCTCAACTTCAATCTTTAATTGACTAAGATTGTCAGTTTTCCTACCGAAGGTCTGTGGTTCTCTCCGGCTTCCTCCAACAACAAAAACTGACAGCCACGAAATAGCACAATAGTGATGAAAAAAATTGAAAACAACACGTTATAAATTTCATGCGTCCGAAGCGCTTTTCTGCATTTACCTTCATCATAAAGGCTCAAAGCCGAATATTTGAAAGCCAAGGATAAAAGAACCTAAACAGTTTAAGAGCTATATAGCCAAGGGGCGATCAATCACAATTTTTCTGCACATCATATCTCACCCACACTATACAGATTATGGCTGGAGAAATAAGCTAAAATATGAGAGATAATTGATTTGTACATGTTGTTCATAGTCATAACACTATAATACCACTGCATATGTGGTATATATTTCATGATAGAAATGCTTATAATCATTCTTACATACCATGAATTTAGTGTCCTTATTCTAGCGAGTTTTCTCAGACTGACTCTTCGTATCGAATTTAATTAAGAATAGGTGTCATATATTTTTGGTGATTAATAGCTTGTTGCGTAAGTAATATGAACATGTATATTGAAATGGAAATTTCCAAAACGATCAAACAGACAGGCGAGGGATAACAAAGAGACATTCAAACTCATAAGTCGAAAATAAACTGACAACGCCATGGATAAAAAAAGAAATAAGAAGCTCTCAAGAGCCTGAATCGCTCACCTGTATTTTTTTGCTTAAATCTTTCATCAATGATGATTTTTGCTTTACAATATATATTAATGAGTAGCTCAAAAATGCCATTTAAATGTTCTTTGTATCTGTCATATTTTCTTCAAAAGCAAAAACAATACATTTTACCCCTATATTCCATTTTAGCCATACGGCATAGTGGCTATGTTTCTTGACGTACAAGGAAATAAAATACAAAATTTATACTAGATACTCTGAAACTCATTCAGCCAAAGTTTGGCTGAAATTGATTCAGCAGTTTCAAAGATGAAGATTTTTTAAAGTAAGCAAACAAGATGAACAAATAGTGAAAAATTGTCTTTAAAGGACAATAACTCCTTAAGGGGTCAATTGACAATTTTGGTCATAAAAAATTTATTTGCAGATCTTACTTTCCTGAACATTTTTGCTTTATCTTTATATGTAATAATATTCAAGATGATAACCAAAAACTGCAAATTTTCCTTAAAATCATCAATTCAGGGGCAATTACCTAAAAATCAAATACCCGATTTGGCTGATAATTTCAGGGCAGGAAGACCTTGACCTAATGAAAACTTTAATTTCTTGCCTGATTTGCTCTAAATGCTTTAGTTTTTGAGATATAAGTCAACAACTGCATTTTATCCTATGTTCTATTAGGAAACATGATATACAAATTGTGTTAAATTGTCCTTACAGAACAATAACTCCTTAAGGAGTCAATTGACAATTTTGGTCATGAAACTTATTTGTAGATCTTACTTTGTTGAACATTTTTGCTGTTTACAGTTTATCTTTATCTATAATAATATTCAAGATAATAACCAAAAACTGCATAATTTCCTTAAAATTATCAATTTAGTGGCAGCAACCAAACAATGGGTTGTTAGATTCATCTGAAAATTTTACAGCTAATAGAACTTGACCTAATGAACTTTTTTACCCCCATTTCAGATTTGCTCTAAATGCTTTAGTTTTTGAGATATAAGCCAAAAACTGCATTTTATTCCCTATGTTCTATTTTTAGCCATGGTGGCCATGTTTTTTTAACGTAACAGAAAATAAAACACAACTTTAATTTTAGATACCCTAAGGATCATTCCGCTTAAGTGTGGTTGGAATTGGTTCAGTAGTTTCAGAGGAGAAGATGTTTGAAAAACACCGGACGACGACGACAGACGAAGACGGACGACGACGACGCCAAATGATGGCAAAGGCTCACATTTCCTTTAGAAAGGTGAGCTAAAAAGAAAAAGGACAAACACACAAACAACAGTACACAAAACACAACACAGAAAACCAAAGACTGAGTAACACGAACCCCACCAAAAACTGGGGGTGATCTCAGGTTCCCCGGAAGGGTAAGCAGATCCTGCTCCACATATGGCAACTGTCGTGTTGCATCAACAATGGGCATTATTTTTTAAAGAAAATTAATCGAAAAATTTACAAATTTGTACCAACTTGTATATAGTCAGTACATGGTAATTTTTCAACAGAAATCAGAGGTTCAAGGTTGAATACTAGTACTGTGCCAGGAGTAAGATAGACATGTGCCTATATTAAAATGACTTAACATCAGTAAGGTGCAACATTTTGATAATTTTGAAAGAAAACTTTGAGAAACGTTAAAATGTCATCATGAACATTTACCGGTTTTTGACAACTGTTTCACCTTGTAATCAAAAAGAGATGATTGACATAAAAAGCCATTACACTGTCGGGATCTCCTATACATTAAATACTTTTCATTTACGTCAATCTTTTATTCAATAACTGGCAATTTTGTGATAAATTTAAGACAATCAAGACATTTTCCAAAGGCACATTTTCATTAATTACATAAAAAAATGTTCTACACAACATACAATTTTTACCTCAAAAACTCTAGGAAAAGTTCAACGGACAAATCATTTACCATATATGTGGACGGACGTAAGGACGGATGGACAAGATGGGCTAACTTAGTTTAATTGATACAACTTAAAACGCGGGGACATGAAATACCGTAATCAAAAATATTTATTTATGGTCTTTACTAATAGACAGTTGTCTACTCATGCTCTTTTACATTGAGTCCAGTAAAATTTTGAACAAATTTAACAAAATCTATATAGGATCTACAAAAAGTGCAAATATTTCTAAAAGACAAAGCAAAATATAACAAAACAGCTTTCGAGGTTCTAACTTCTGGAACACAAATATGGTTTGAGATCAACTTAATTCTTTTACAACTTGACCCTCTTCCCGTTATCCTTTGGTGTATGAACTGTTTTTAAAATCTCATCAAGGCTTAAAATTTGTACCGCCAGACGTGCGTTTCGACAACAAAAATCTAATATGTTACTTTTTTGTTCTGTAAGCGCCTGAATTTGTCTTGATTATCCTGTACAGTTTTGTTATACGGCTTCCCATACTTTATCTTTTGAGCGGACTTTTTGTTGAGAATTCCAAAAACACCTGATAATGTCATTTAAAGTTTTATCATAACTTTATTTTAATCATTAATAAATTGGAATATGGCAAAAAATATGATATACAAATTAAATATACCGTACATTTTCCTCTTTTAATATTTTTGATGTTCCCAGAAAGCATTGTGCCGGGAACTTGACGCAAAAATTTCAAGATTTATATAAATGTATTATATAAGATAGAGACATTCAAGCTGTATTTGGCAAAACTAACTTTTAGGAATTTTGTGTTCTCGGTGCTCTTAAATTTCGTACTTTATTTGGCCTTTTTAATTTTTCGATTCGAGCGTAACTGATGAGTCTTTTGTAGACAAAACGCGCGTCTGGCGTACATCATTTCAATCCTTGTATCTATGATGATTTTATTTACAACCGCTGGGTCGATGCCAATGCTGGTGGAGTTTTTTCTCCCCGAGGGGATCACCAGCCCTTTAGTCAGCACTTCTGTGTTGACATGAATTATCATTGATATGGTCATAATTATAAATCAACTGTTTACAAAAACTTTAGATAACCGAAATACTACAGATTTTCTACCCAAGGAATAGATTACCTGAGCTGTATTTGGCAAAACTTTTAGGAATTGTGGGTCCTCAATGCTCTTCAACTTCGTACCTTATTTGGCCTTTTTAATTTTTTTTTATTCGAGCGTCACTGGTGAGTCTGTTGTAGACGAAACGCACGTCTGGCGTACAAAATTTCAATCCTTGTATCTATGATTAGTTTATTTTCAAACATTGAAAAGGATGAAAAATGAGTTGTCTCTTCCATGACTATAAAAAAAAACGACGTTTAAACAAACCGAAAAATGAAGAGAGAGAAATAAAGATCTTACCCGCCAACACAGTGTCCAGCAGTCATGACCCAGCTGTGGCCTATCAAGCTTGCTCCACAGTAATAAGCTTCATTTTCACCACCGTGTAATGAAATCTGGGACGGCCATGTTCCGGGGTCGACTTCATCTCCATTCACAATTCGTAATTGAGATGGGTGTTTTGCCGGTCTATTACCACATACTAGAATAAAAAAGAAATTTCAATATTGAAAAATAGTACCGTTATTGTTCATTGCAGAACTAGAGACTAAAATAATCAAGCTCGAGCATCTATATTTCAGCACATATATTCTTTCAATATTTTGCTACACATCAAACGCGATTTACAATGTGTTTTTCACCTGCATGTCACCTAATTTCAAAAATTATTTTGTTTATAGAAATTTATATGCTTTTTTAGAACATCAAGGTACTTTATGTACTCATGTACAGATAAAAAAAATCAGGAAGTTACACAAGAAATTAATTAATTTCTTCGACTATCAAGTAGACAGTAACGACATTTTTTGTCATCTAGATGCCGTATCGCTGTCGTTTACCACACATATAATTTTTAAAAATGGAATGTTGCTTTTTATAATTTTAATGGGCTGGAAAAGATTTGACCGAAGCACATTTTGTATGAAGCACATTTTGTATAAAAGTATAAAAAGAAGCATTCAATTCTTATAATTACATTTTTATGCTACAACCATATATTTAAAGTTATAGCAAGCTTTAATTTTTTTTGCAATGCATTATTTTAACATTGTCACGGATAGCACGAGCAGTCATAGCTGTTTTATCTTATACGGAATCAAATATGATATTAGTGTCAGCCAATCAGAATTACGGATAGTAGTAATGTATGTAATTACAAAAAAAAACGATCAATCACAATATGATACTAAAACGCATGCAGTTCAGAGTGAAACATAACTGGTAAAGCTTCTATGTTTGTTGTTGTATATTACTAAGTGTTTACACAATAAGTAAAATGGTTGGTTTACCTGCATTTTCACAGGACAACCGAACAACTTTTCCACTAGTACAGCTAGCAACGCTATAATCAAAATTAATAAACAAAATATATACAATAGAAAAGACCATCAAAATATTTGTATTTAATGATAAATATTTAACATACCATATTTTTCTGATTTTAACAAAAATAGAGCCCGTCATCTATCAAACAGTTTTAAAAAACTTAATGGTAAATATGTAATGTCTACTTGAAGATGAAAGTAAACTTTCATCTCCAAAAATCATCAGAAGTTTTGTATTTAATCATGACTATTTAACATACCATATTTTTTTTATTATTTTTTTAAACATATAGCCTGTCATATACATGTATCAAACGTTTCATGAAAAACTTAATGTTAATATGTAATAAAATTGAGAATGGAAATGGGGAATGTGTCAAAGAGACAACAACCCGACCATAGAGCAGACAACAGCCGAAGGCCACCAATGTCTATTAAAAGAATGATTTAAGCTTTTGTTTCCGATTTACAAACAGACCATTTGTAGATATTACGATTCTTAGGATAATGTTCATGTGCTCTAAATTCAATTTATTATTTAGATAAGCAATACCTATATGACCTACTTACAAAACAGTATTAACAAAAATACCGAACTTCAATATAAAAAGGGTGAAGTCCATAAAACCTGACAAAACCAAACGCTCAACTATATCAACTAACGGAACGGAAATTACTTTGTCCATGTTTCCTAACATCATCAATCACAGTTATTCCGTATGAGACTGTACTAGGCTACTCATTAACATACATTATACCTCATGACATATATCAATGATTAAAAACAAACACGACAATGTCTTGTATGATATGCGATTCAAGAAAATGTTATTTAAATACGGCTCCCTTAAACATGTTAAAGATTGAACTTGTCGCCGTCTCTCTCGGTACACTTTGTATTGCTCCCTATATATTTTGATTATTTCCCTTTAATTCACAATCTAATGGTTTAAAACATAAAATAAGAACTCCACATCCCTGGTGAATATTAACTTCATAGTATGTATTTAAATGTTTCGAAGTATTAAGGATTTTCTACGCCAAGAATAGATTACCTTATTTGAATTTGAACAAAAAACATTTCAGGATTTTCGGTCCTCAATGCTATTCAACATCGTATTTTATTTGGCATTATTATATTTTCTGATTCGAGCTTTACTGGTGAGTCTTGCTTACACGAAAACCGCGTCTTGCGTACACAATTTAAACTTGGTATCTTTGATGAGTTTATTCTATGTTGGTTTAATACGTACGACTTTTGTAGGTAGGATTGGAGAGCCATCGTGTTGGAACCATTCTTCATGTCAATATGTATAACTGACTTTAGGTTTTGTCCTGGATTTGTCTCTTCGAATGATTTGGTATCTCTGAAAAAAATAGGTTAAGCTGATACAAACTAAAAGACACGAACAGAAACAAATACAAAAAAGTTAAAGACAATACAATATCAACAATAATTCGGTAACACAAGCAAACCAGGATCCTAGCTAAAATTTTAAATATTAAGCCACGAACAAAGTAATGGCGATCTCATTCATATATCTATATATTCAATATCAACATAGTTTATCTATTAAAGACTTTAATTTCTGCTGCAGAACAGAAAAAGAATCATAAGCAAGATTTATAATATAGCAATACATTTATAGTATAAAATAAAGCTGGTTTGATGGAGTTTTAATAAATTTTCCAAATTTCAACATTTTTCCAACTTATAGATCTAAGGCAAAGTAAAGGGGGACGTTTGTGCTCATATACAACTGGTTTAATACTTTTTGGTCATATAGCCCTTCAACTGTCTCGGTTCTTATACATCCTCGGCTTTCAAATATTTGGCTTTGAGTGTTCCTGATGAAGTTAAATCCAGAAAAGCGGTTCGGACGCATGCAAATAATAACGTGTTGATTTCATTTTTTTTTTTAGAAAAACATTGTTTAAAAGGTCCTCACTGTAATCTCGTCTATTGACTAAATATACCACATTAAAAAACATTTAGGTGCAATTTTTCTGTAGTTATTTACAAAAGATTTCATCAATTTAAAAATTCCAAAGTACAACACCCATTTTTGTTTTGTCAAAATAAATGATATATAAATATACATGTAAAACAATATTTTGATGTCAAAATTTATGAATTCTCAAAATTAGCATTTTTTAAATGTTTATAGTAAATATATCATCTTTTTTTTTTACAAAATAACAATGCTTTTGAAAACTAATTTGTTTTATTTGAAACATAAAATAAAAATGGAAAGCAAAAGAACGTACTTGTAGCCCAGCTGATTACAGACCATATCACTAAAAGTTGTATTCCAGTTATCAGAACAAACCTCCTGCCAGTGGGAACTAACACCATCTTTTACTAGTAAAATGCCTGAATTTGTACCGTCTCCAAGTCTAACTAAAACAAAAGTAGCAAAATCCTGAAGAACATGTTGAATTTCTAGATTATTAAAAATATTTAGCTTATCACAGTAAGGACAATGTATGGTCTTGATAATGAAATGCTACTAATTTTATGTTTGTAGTCATTATAAAATATCGAATTAGTCTAAAAAAAAACTTACGAACTTTGCACGCATGTAAGAAATCATTCCTGCCAAGGTATCTTCAAACACATTGTAAGCGGTTGTTATACATCAAACAGTTACAATTAAGATAACGGTAAGAAAACAGCGAGCATAAGTTTGGTATGGTAAAAGAACGTCAGGCATTTCTAGACATCTCATAAAACTGATTAAGTGTTCTTTTCATTTGAGTAACAATGTTGAAAAAAAATTAAGTGACTTGCTAGGTTAATCAAATTTCGAAATCGTATAAAGTATATTTAACCTTCATCAAATTAAAGAAAAATAGTGAAGGTCAAAATAAAAACAGGAAAACAAATATTTAATTGAACCCTTAAAAAAGTAACAAGTCTTACATTCCAATGCCTTATTATTGATAACATCTAAGGTAAATATACATACTGCACTGTGCTTCATCAACGTTTTCATAACAATCTCCAACGCCGTCACATACTAAGTTGGTACCTATGCACTGTCCGGAAACTGGGTGACATTTTTCCTGTCCTACTGGACATTTGGCTAAAATAAAAGTTACAAAACATTAGCATACAACATGCTATGGTATCAATAATTGATAAAATCTTAAGCTTGAATTTCTAACTTCAATGAAGTAGTGCTCTGCTACATTATTTTTTTGTTGTTGAATTGTGACTAGCTAGGTATCTGTAAATCATTTATAAATCAAAATATGTGTCAATATGACACCATGCCTCGCTTGTTTTGTCATAATTCTATGATCCATTTACAGCGAAACCTGGTCAAAATCCCCATTTGTTATATATATTAAAAATTTCAAATCATAATGAACATCTGTACTTGTGCATGTGTTGTTTGAAGTCGATGTGAACATGATGTGATGGTAAACTAGCTGAATCAAAAACGTTAACCTGGTAAGAAACGAATAAAAATACGGACGAAAAACATATTTTCCCACTTCTATCGTAGACGGAACATAAAAATCGTAGGCATCATCTGCTGTATTAAGAATATTCCGTACACCAATCTTAACACTGAGGAAATGTCATTTGGGAAACGAAACAGCGATGACATCATAAACCAGTTGCTCCAACGAGCTTGTATTGCGCTCAACATCTTTAATAAATTTGGTCGAATTAACAGAAATATTTGGATTGATTGGCAGATGTGTTGGCCAATATCTTGCATTGCTTACCATTTTCAATATAAGTCTCCAAGATAAAAAAAAAACATTTATTTAAGGGTATTAAGTCCTACAGGAAGTTAACCAATCTCGATCATTGTGATTTATTTGTTAATCTCATGCTGCTGATTATTTTTGCTCCTTAAACAAAAATTCTACAGAGTTATGAGGATGAAGACCGAAATCGACATTGTATAGGTTTTACGGTCACCATCACGCATTTGGTTGTCCGATACGTTCTACTAGTGAAATATTTTCACGGTATTAGATCTTTTGATGTACCAGTATAGTCATCTGATCTGTATTTTACCCATTGTGTCCTATTACTGATTGTGACATTTGGTGAAATCGTATGGCGTGTGATGGATGTATGGCAGGAGAAGTGTATCATGTGGACGCAATCGGTCGTGCTCCTTATGAAGTTCATGTGATTCCCTCAGTTTTGTATTGTTACTCCGATTTGTTTTTTGATTGGCGGGATTTGAGCATCGGTAAATTACTGTCTTAACATGTTTATTTGGGATTGCAGTTTCTATCTTTTCTAATGTAGAGCTTGAAGAAATGTGAAAGAAATTGTAATTTGAGGGCATTTACTCCTTCAAAAGGTTAAAATACATTTTAGCCATGTTGACATATTGTCCTGTCATACTGGATGTTACTCTCTATCTATCATGTCTGTAACAGTTTTTTCAAGAGCAACAGCTCTTCTAAGGAGTCGACTAACCATTTTTGTTATGCTGACTTATTTGTAATTATTTTTATTATGATAGTTTTCTCAATTTGAATTGTCACTTTACTATTCATTTTTTTCAAGATAATAGCCAAAATGCCAGAGAAGTGGTCAATAGTGTTATCTAAGGAATAATGGGTTTATAAAAAACAAAGTAAATAATTTTTTCATACTTCTACCAAAATGTGCCAAAACCTTGTTTACATGTATTATATTTCTATTTCAAAAATATAATAAAAAGCATCGGTCACAAAACATGTTTCTAAGTTAAAGGACGGAAAAACTGATACATCTCGTAAGAATTATACAATTAAAAAAAAGCATTATCATGAGAAGAGATAGAAAACTAAAGGATGGAATTTTGAAATAAGATATGTGCAGATAGCTCTTATGAAATGCTTTCCAAAACATGTTTTAAAAAATGCAGTCAACGCACTTTTTCTTGCCTTGTAGCAAAAAAGAAAAAAGAAAATGACTTTATAATATTAAGTTATCTCTCCTTCACCAACAAAGTTAAAAGAAATCAATAATAAAAACCCTGTATTTGTAAAAACAGTTATAATTATATGATTACATCAAATATTTTTTTTGAATGAATAATGTCACAATTGAAATGTATTCCTGCATTTAAATAGAAATAAGAAGATGTGGTATGAGTGTCAATGAGACAACTCTCCATCTAAGTCACAATGTGCCAAAAGTAAACAATTATAGGTCAAAGTACGGACTTCAACACGGAGCCTTGGCTCACACCGAACAGCAAGCTATAAAGGGTCCCAAAATTACTAATGTAAAACAATTCAAACAGGATAACCAACGGTCTAATCTATATACAAAACGAGAAATGAGAAACACTTAAGAAACAAATCAACAAACGACAACCACTAAAGTTGCTTATTCGATCTAAAATCTTGACTGATAATTTGATGATATTTGTGACCTAAGATGACAAAAGACTCAACTTCTATCTTACGGACAATCACTCCTATTAGAGGTTATCTGATTATTTCGGCCATCTTTCTCGTTGATAATTTCTGCAATTTAAAGTGTCTCTCTATCTACTATAGTTTTCTTAAAGGTAATAACCAAATGCTAACGACTATAAAAAATTTCTTTTAAGTGCAGTAACTCATATCAAAAGTCATTTGATCATTTCGACCATTCTGAATTATTTGTACATCTCTTCTTGTTGGTATTGTTTTGTAGTTAGACAGTTATTCTATTTATAACAATTTCAAAATAAAATCAAACATAAAACGACTCGCCTTTTGACAAAGTTTAAGGGCAACAACGACTATAAGAAGTCGACTTACCATTTCGGTATTTGATACATATTTGTAAATCTTGCGAAATAAAAGAAGACCAAAGTATAAGACAAAAGACACTGGTTGTCTGGCAGATCAGAAAAGCACTCGAACGTTACAGCTCATCACTGCCAAGCCGATGACTAAATATGAATCCTTATGAAAAGTAGTATTAGAAAATGTGTGACCTATACAAAATAAGAAGATGAGATTGATTACCAAGAGACAACTTTCCACTAGATTCAAAATTGTGTGGATTTAAGCAAATATATGTATAAATATCTATAAATCTTCAATGATGAACACATAAAATTGAGAACGGAAATGGAGAATGTGTCAAAGAGACAACAACCCGACCAAAGAGCAGAAAACAGCCCAAAGCCACCAATTGGTCTTCAACACAGCGAAAAAATTTCGCACACGGAGGCGGGCTTCAGCTGGCCCCTAAACAAAAATGTGTACTAGTTCAGAGAAAATGAACGTCACACTCAACTCCAAAACATATAAATAAACCAAAATAAAAAACACATGGAAGCCTAACAAAAGTTAGAGGTCCTGAATTGGGACAGGCGCAAAAATGCGGCGGGGTTAAACATGTTTTGTGAGATCTCAACCCTCCCCCTATACCTTTAGCCAATGTAGAATAAACAAACACACAGAAATACGCGCAGTAAAAATTCTATTTACAAACTGTACCGTTTAGTCAGCTAAAAAAGGCTCCGACATGAATAAAACATTTAACAATTCAAACGAAAAGAAATCCAATTACCTGATTAAGGACAAAAAAGAAAAAAACACAAAAACAAATATGAAAGACAGCAACAAACGACAACCACTGAATTACTGGTTAATAGCTTCTGATCACCGATCTGAGAGTATTCATAGTTACTGATAGCTTGTAAAAAGTCAATAACAATTATAAATAAATCATGTTCTTCCAAACTAAAGTATCAATCTATACATACCTTTGAAATTCATTTAACAGATTGAAAAAAATCAGAGAACGGACAAAAAGGAATAAATGTACGATACTATATCTAATAAACTTTTCCAGCTTAAAGCCAAAATCAAAGATAAAAACGGTAAAAATCGTCATTGAAGAGCAAAAAATCCTCTTAACCATTGTCGGACAGCGATGGTAAAACACAAACAGTAATTAGAACTTGGCATTCTTTTACATGCACGATTTTCTCTATCATTAATGGTTTTAAGATAAAACAACAATACTAAGTCTTATATTTTACTCCTTTGTTCTCATTATAACCATTACGACCATATTGATTAGTCATTTTAGACTAGATATTCTAAGGATGATTGCTGCAACGTTTTTTTTTTTTGGCAATTATCATGGGACTGGCAAATGAAAAAAATAGGATGGATTACGGACGATGCACCCAAGTGATGGCAATAGATCACACTAAATCATTGGGTAAAACAACTTTATTTTACTGATCAGTCGAATGGTATGAATCCTTAGAATTGAAACAGAATATAATGTGACCTCGATTTATAAAGTGTACCCTTTATACAAGAAAAAGGATGTTCCTCAAACAATATTTTTCTTTAAAACGACCAAGTCTTATATTAACATACCACAGAGTTCTTCGTCTGAATTGTCTTTACAGTCTTGGTAACCATCACAAACCCATGATGACGGAATACACACATCCGTGTCACAGCGTAGTTGTTCGGTTGGGCATGCTGCAAATTACAATGAATTATATGAAAGGTTGTTCAGGTCATTTCTACTTTTTTCATGTTGAGTACTGATGCATGGAAATATGTCCTTTTATTTTATTTTAAATATCGCTCTGTTTTAATCTTCAAAAGCATGTCTCATTATTCATAAAAAAAGTATAAATGTTTACGGCAAAACAAAACAAAAAACAAAACAAAACAAAACAAAACAAAATCAACTCTTTTTGTATAATGTATAATCTCTGTTCCACGCAAGTATTAAAAGTTTGTTAAATACGTTCATTTTGATAAACTTACTCGATTACAAGGGAAGGTAGAAAATTAGCAAATAGGAAGAAAAAGATAATACCAAATTACGAATATGAAACCAATAAAAATGTAAGAACAAAATTTGATACATGAAAAGATTCTCTTAAAATTACAAATTACAGATTTAAAATCAGGACATAAGAGTTGTTAGTTCACTTTTTGCTAATTCATATTTTATTCAGACATATCTGAAATAACCTGCCTTCAAATAAGCTTCCCTGATGTTAAAGATGTATAACAGTCTCTGAACAGCACATGTAACAACTCATCATTGTCAAGCTGATGAAAAAATGTGAAATCATTCGGTTCTGTAGTACTTCACATGTGTGATGATTTTGTTTTGTTAATTCAACATATTGAAACACCAATATAAACTATCATTGGCCCATAATATGGAACGCCACGACTGTCTTCTGATGTTGATTGTTTAATATGTTCGGTGCTTTATGCATTACGTTCAGTAGTATTTATATTAGGTTCAGTAGTTTTCATATTCTGTTTAGTAGTTTTGACATTATGTTCAGTAGTTTTGACATAATGTTCGGTGCTTTGGTTATTGTGTTCAGTAGTTTCATTATTACATGTGTATTAAATGCAGTGGTATTTAAATTATGTTCGGTACTTCTGACGTTATATTCAGTGCATTTTGCATTATGTTCAGTACTTTCGACATTATGTTCAGTAGATTCAATATTATTTGCAGTACATTATGTGTTACCTTGAGTGGTCCCGGTTTCTTTTTATTCGGTGGATTATTCATTATGTTCAGTAAAAGCATCAGTATTATACTTGGTTCAATGAACTATATGTTCAGTAGTTGTTTCATTATGATGATGCATTAAAAAATTGGGAAATCAATAACGGAAATTGTCGGGAAAAAAACGAACATGGACATTTTTGACGGACGTTTTCTTCATGGACACTTTTACGGGATGGAATGAAAATGGAAGAAATGGAAGAAGTATTAAATTGGTTTGTTTTACTTTCCCACGTTGGAAATTTTCACAAGGACAAAAATACTCCTGACTTAATTTGTAAGATGGCATGATTGATTGATTGTTGTTTTCTGAACGTATAGTGGCAAATATTTCACGCATATTTATGACGGAGAGAAGAATTTTTAAACAAAAAATAAGAAGTTGCATGCATTGTCGTTAATACACCATGACTATAGAGAGAGACAAAAAGACAAACAGCAAAAAACAATTATATTAAACATATTCTATAGCTTTTGTATTCCTAGAAGGTAACCCATTTTGTTGGTTGGTTGTAGCATACTAATCTCATGCACCGACTTACAGACTTTTAGGAGACCACCAAAAATCTCCTTCTGGATATTCTTATTGTTATCTGCATCCTATCCCGCTAATAGGCCCTTAAATATCAGATATTTATTTGAAATAACCCAAGTTTGGCAAAAAATAAAGAATAGAGAATAAAGGAGTGCTTTAAAAAAAATGTTAAAAAGGTAAAAAAAAAAAAAAGTGATTACAGAATTAAATGATTAACATGATTAACAGAATAACTAAACTTTTTCTGCATATCGAATTTATTATTGATATGGAATGAAATATTGAACTGGTCGTAATCAGAACTGGTCAATTGATGTTACCATTCAAATTATGTACATTCGATATTTTCCTCGAAAATCACGATCTTGCACGAGTTAACAAATCTTGACGTACTATTTCGTCCACTTTTGCTGACAAAGATAATCTTACATTCTTCTCCTGCATTGTGTCAGAAGTTATTACAACAGAGATAAAACAGTTCGTGATAAAGTTCAGACAAAAATGACAGCAAAAAGCTTTGCAATAGAAGAGAAACCAGAAAACAACTAGTCACAAACTTCATACATTCAAAGAGCTACATTGAAATTTATGCTGGTATGCAAGGGTATAGAATGAAATATTGTACAAAGTGCTACAAAAAATGAACATTGAGTATCAGTATGACTGTCATTTTAAAATCATTTATTTAGATTTTTAATCTTCCAAATTCAAGCTGTATACACAAAAATTAACTAGGTCTAAGTGTAAATATGATTACCATAGACTGTCTATTAGACAGGCAATGAATACCAAAATACAAAGTGCAAAACTTTAATTATGTGCAAATTTTCACCATTTCTGTACAGTTATGGTTCTTATAATTTTAAAGTAATGCATAAAACATGACCCCTTTTGTTTAATAAGTGACTAGAAACTACCCAAACCAATAACTTAATATCTGTTCTTGAACAGAGCGTTTAAAAACATATTTCTGGATTTAGTCTCTAGATCCACCAAAGACAACCAGAATGAAGAGGAATAGATTGACAATATCAAGATACAGGATCGAGGCTAATCCGTGTTACCATGAATTATCATTGATATGGTCATATTTATGAATCAACTTTCTCTATTCTGTAAACCTCATCCACAACTTCATTTATCTTGGGTTATTTCAAATAAATATCTGATATTTAAGCGCCTATTAGCGGGGTAGGATGCAGAATACTATAGGAGTATCTGCAAGGAGATTTTTCGTGGTCTCTTAAAAGTCGGTGCATGAGATTAATATGCTACAACCAACCAACAAAAAGGGTTACCTACTAGGAATACAAAAGCTATAGAATATGTTTTTATATTTTATTTTTTGCTGTTTGTCTTTTTGTCGTCTCTCTAAGGTCATGGTGTATCAACGACAACGCATGTAACTTCTTATTTCTTGTTTGAAAATTCTTCTCTCCGTCATAAATATGCGTGAAATATTTGCCACTGTACGTTCAGAACCCAATAATCAATCAATCAATCATGACATCTAACAAATTATGTCAGGGGTATTTGTTTTCCTTGTGAAAATTGCCAACGTGTCAACCTAAACCAAACCAATGTAATACTGCTTCCATTTTTTGCATTTTCGTTCCTGATCCCGTTAAAGTGTCCATGAAGAAAACGTCCGTCGAAAATATCCGCGTTTGTTTTTTTCTGAAAATTTCTGTTATTGATTTCCCGACGTTCACTGCATCATCATAATGATACAACTTCTGAACATATAGTTCATTGAACCGAGTATAATACTGATGCTTTTACTGAACATAATGAATAATCTACCGAATATAAAGAAACCGGGACCACTGAAGGTAATACATAATGTACTGCAAATAATATTAAATCTACTGAACATAATGTCGATGGTACTGAACATAATTAAAAAATGCACTGAATATAACGTCAGAAGTACCGAACATAATTTTAATACCACTGCATATAATAATGAAACTACTGAACATAATAACCAAAGCACCGAACATAATGTCAAAACTACTGAACATAATTTCAAAACTACTGAACATAAAATGAGAACTACTGAACAAAATATAAATACTACTGAACGTAATGCATAAAGCACCGAACATAGTTAACAATCAACATCAGAAGACAGTCATGGCGTTCCATACCGTGCGCTAATCATTGTTAAATTGTTATCGAAAGTTTAAGAATAAATAATAAAGGCCTATATAATTAACAAAAAAGATTAAAAATGAGCGTCGGGCCTATGGCTTCAAACGTTACAAATACGTAGAATAACTCCAAGATCAAAACACACGATCCTCAAAAGATATGCAGATCACAAAATGTTAATGGATGATCCGTATAACTTCTGTGGGACGTCATGTCATTCAATCAATTGCTTTTTATTTTATTTTCATATTGATGTCGGTATTAATCTACAATCAGACGGATTGCTTCTGGTTCTAAATGAATCTACAGAACAAAGTTTTCTTTCATCTTTTGATAGGCCCCACAAATGTTGAAAACTATGATATCTAGCATCGGTGGTGTGTTTTTCTCCTGAAATGCATGTTCATGCAAGAAGTAGTCGATATATGAATACTATTATCTACAATAGAAAATAGAAAATTTACCTCCAATCTTTCTAGGTTCGTGTGCTTCGGCATACCCAATACAAATAGATGTATCATTGGTGTCTGGTAGGGCGTCACAATCAAGTTTTTCTGGCCATATCATGCTGAATATATTCATGAATACTTCACATCCAGCTTTTGTGGCTGTGTAAATTAAAAGTAAATGAAAATAACTAACTGTATATTGACCTTGTAAAACGTTTAGATATAATTTTGTTCTTAAAAAGAAATAAATGGTAGCATAGTATTCCTCTGAAAGAATATACTGTCATTATCACTATTTAATTAAAATGTCAACTTCACATAGGCAATTGGTTTGTTCCCCTTTTATTATTTTGTTAATTTATATGAACAACTGTGAATTTCCCAACTGAGCGACCAATTATTTCATATAGGTTCAAAACCGGCGCAGCGTATTATTTTGTTCTCACTAATCGAAAAAATTGTCTAACTCATGTTAGTTCCTCTTTCGATTTATCATGAATTTATCTATCTAAACGTACCGTTATTTTTAATGTTCAATCTATTTGCGATCAGTTGTTGAACATGCTAAAGACTCTCTATGAAAATAATTTTATTTCCCAGTATTTGCAAATTGCGTACTGTGTGCATGCATACTGTTTTCGCCGGTTGTTTTTTTTTTACGTATACAAATAGATTTTACAATCTAAGACATATACCTTTACATAGACTTTTACACGGTGGTATAGTGTGCTGACCAATAACCTCTATACCAGTGCATTTTGGGACAAATGCTGAACAGGCAAGCAAAGAGGCATGTTTATAACATCGTGTGGCATCATCGATTGAGGTTAACAGATTAACATAATGGACTGCTTCTCCTTCAGAAATTTGTCCAGCATAATTTGGAAAAGCTGTAGTTTTGTAACCCATATTCCAACATCTCGCAAAGCTTTCATTCTTATATTCATAACAATGGGCAGCTGAAATAATAAAATCTAGTCAGCATTACATGATAAACGTGAAGATTAGTTTCGATTTGTTTTATTTTAGACAGCGGAGGTTTTGTAAAACAACCAAGCAGCCTTTTATCTAATTATCTAATTAGTGGCATTAGTTATTTACAGAGAATATAACAGGTAACGATGACATATGTCAAATAATATAATTATATGTTACATGTGTTATATAATCCTGTATCACTCGAAGCAACATATCATAACTTTATTTGAAATCAAGTTTCATCGTTTTGACAAACGATTAGTAAGAAATGTCATACATAGTGGTTTGTTGTCGTTTTATCATTATCAAAATATTTAGATTTTATCACGGAAAAAAAGATTGATTGTCAAACAACAATTTTCACCTCCAGAAATCTGAAACAATTCACACCCAGCTTCAAACAATTATCTAAAACCAGGTAACAAGTTGCCCTTTCAATATTTTGTTTTTGATTATAAATAAAGCCTATAATCATGCTGACGTCGCTCAATTGGATCAGAAAGAACAACTAACGGATAAATGAGAGTAACAAGAGTTTTGACCACTATCGGTAGCTTAGTTAACTATTTAAAATAATGAATCTACTTTATGAAAAGTTATAAATCTTTATATATACAGTTTTGTTTGTTTTAGGTCATGAACATTTTTTACTTTGTGAAGAAAAAACAATTACACCGAAGATGATATAATCAAAATATTGAACTTTCTAATCGATAACTGATTTTTTTAATTTGGTGTATTATTATTTCTACAGACATTCAATGATCCAAGGGAATCAATTGTGCACTATTACCGGCCGTCCTATCGTTGTACTCATATGGAGCCGAATTCATACAAATCCTTCTCAAAGACAAAAGAAAAAAAAACATCAGGCATAGTTTTTATTTAATTTTCCTTTCAGATATATTGATGATGTCCTGTTACTAAACATGGATGACTATAACAGGAATTGGTGACCGATACGATGTGTCTATGTCTCATCTAGCTTGCAATCTAAGATATTAAGATAACAGAATAGTTATCTGGTGGTCTGTAGTTTTACCAATTGCGTCCTATTTCCGATTGTTATATTTTGACTAAGTGTGATTTATATGGCGGATGGTGCATGCATACACTTACCCTGTCGATTCATTAGATGTCGGTCCTTTTTGGGATCAAACGATTCCCGCGGTTATTTTCCTGCTTCTTTATCGATTTGTGAGATTTTAACATCGATAAATTATTGTTGCCTTTAACTATTTAAAATATGGTCAACTCCTTGACATCTTCTCTCTTATTTTTTTCAGGAAATTTATAAAAACATTTAGTTTAAATTTCTTTTTTATTATTTTGCGTCAATGGAGTGTTAAAACGCTATATTGAATCCACGTCAATACAATAAATAACATTTCCGCCGTCTCTATGTTGAAATTTATTCAATCGAGTAACGCGTTTGCCTCTTAAATACTTAAAACTTAGATGTCGATTTATATAGAATGTATATCATATTCAAATATTACAAAAATACTGATAATTCACAATGCATCAAGAGCAAAATTTCGAATGTGCATTAATCACTTAAAATATGAATACAGTTAAGATATATACGTGAGTGAACAAAGCTAAAGGGTCGTGTTCGACAAAATGATGTGAAGATTTCATCTTTTAAAATGTGAAAAAAGATCCTTTCAACAAGTCAATGTTTAAATCATGTTAATATTAAAGTAGAAGATTAGATTTCCCTTATTGCAAAATATTTAATTTTGCTATGTGAATTCGCTTAAAGAATTTTAGGCATTGTATCTGTCACGTTTTGGCCCTTTAATGAATCTATATGAACATTAAGAAAATAACGACTTTTAAGCTGATACTTTCAATTTTAAATTCAGACAGACAAACGACTGAAAAAAGTGTCAAGATTTTGAGAGATTGACGTGTATAGTGTTCAACATGATTTTATTTTTTCAGCAAATCCGGGCTCTACAAAAATGAAATGATTCAATGATTAGAAACGGTAGTTAGATTTATTATGCAATTCAAAAAAAGATCGATTATAAAACCTTTGTCTGTCAAATGATGACTGAAATGTGTATATATATTTTATACTTCATAATATTGACAAATACGTATCCGTAATAAATTTTATCATAAATGTGTAAAATGATTATACCGAATAGTGATGTGTTTTATGATTTTTACATATAACAAGTCTTACGAATAGATGTATAATAGGCTATATGTATTAAAAGAAACGTAGTGTAAAAACCCGTTCGTGTCTGCCAACCATTATCCAAACAATAAAAACGTAGAACTTTTCGACTAAAACAATATAATTAAATTGTCTGAGTTCCATTAGAAAAAGTGTTGAAGTAAAATTATGTGTGTGTTAGAAGTTAAAACAAGAACATTATTTTAATCATTATATGTTTGTCCACACATATATAGAATAAATTGTTTTTTCCAGAATGTCATCTAGGAAGAAACATAGAGGTTTTTCTTTTGACTTATTGAACAGAAACGTTATTAGAGTCAGAATCGGGAGTAAATTATATATTTAGATCCTTATTCGATGCATACGTTATAGATAATGCATATTTTAAGGTTTTTCTTGTCGTAGAACACACCGAGGGGTGTCAGCATTGATCAAACGAAAGACCGACCGTACTATTGTTTCAGAAATGGGAGAAGGTTTGGTACCATTAAAACGTTTAATCTCGCTGCAAATGTTTGCACCTGTCCTAAGTCAGGAATCTGATGTAAAGTAGTTGTCGTCTGTTTATGTAGTTCATACGTGTTTCTCGTTTCTCGTTTTTATATAGATTAGACCGTTGGTTTTCCCGTTTGAATAGTTTTACACTAGTAATTTTTGGGGCCCTTTATAGCTTGCTTGTTCGGTGTGAGCCAATGCTCCGTGTTGAAGGCCGCACCTTGACCTATAATGGTTTACTTTTATAAATTGTTACTTGGATGGAGAGTTGTCTCATTGGCACTCATACCACATCTTCCTATATCTATGTAAAAAAGTTAAGACCTGACACGAAGAGACCACGAAATCGTGATACATGTACATGTAACACGAAAACGAAAACGAATACCAATACATGTAGGTCACAGTATGATTTCCAATTCAGTGTGAATCAATAAGATTTTCTAAATCTTATACACGAATGTGTTAAATCTGGCCTTTTAAAAAGTGTTATGGAAAGTTTTACATCAAATTTTCCTCACATACATGATAATGTCCCTTTATTGTAGCGATACGATAAATTAACAAAAATTAACATTATTTGTTTCTAAAGTTAAAATGCGGGTCATTGACGATTTTTTTTTAAACCTATCAAAGATTGAAATTTGAAAAATAAATTCCCCGACCGATTGGCAATAACAAACTTCCAAACGAATTAAATTTTGAAGTACATTATAGTTTGCATTTTCATCAAGGAAAATAATTACCTCACACAGGTCATTATTTTATGCCTTGAAGCATATTTCATTGAAACATGGTATCGTCCGGGTTGATTCTTCGAAAGAATGACTTATCATTCTGAATGAATATAGGTATATAAGAGATAGTAAAACCTCCAAAAAATGTATGTACAGAAATAAGAGAAGGAGATAAGTTTGATGTACACTGCTTTTCTGTGTTACCAGGTAGTTACCAGTAAATACCGAGGTATAACGAATAGCTAATTGCTAATCCACAAATATGTTTTACATAAATACCATGTTTTAACTACTTCAATCAGACAAAAATATGTTTTACAATGCTATTATTATTATACTTACGTTTATAAGGATTTGCTGCACAGACTGATGGATCATTTGAATCTGGTAGCGTATCACAGTCAACTGGGAATGTTTGATTGACACAACCATCTTTTACATCTATACAAAGACACCGTATATATTTTAGTGTGGTATGATTTATTTAAAATCTATCTTAATATTGAAGATATAAAATGCTTTACAAGTATATGCATGATAGTCCTTTTAGACATTGTATTAACATTTGATTTGTGTTCTTATAAAAAATAAAAACAACACGTTATAAATTTCATTCGTCCGAAGCGCTTTTCTGGATTTACCTTCAGCAGGAACGCTAAAAGCCGAATATTTGAAAGCCAAGGATGTATAAGGACCGAAAACGAAAAGCTATAAACCAAAAAGAACATAAAAAATAGTATACGAATTTTACGCGGTTCTGTCAGTTAGATAAAGAATGAGGTATGATAACATCCATAAATTGGCCACAAATTGGTACAAGTGTTCATTTAAAAGAACAAAAGAAATATTATAATTTCTAAATATTATATTTTTCAATTACAATATTTTTTTTAATTCAAGGGGAAAAACGTTACCTTATCATACCTTCTTCTATGATGAGCCAAACGTAGACTTAATTGTCTTGTATAAATGACGGTCAAATGCATTCGTATCATTGCACTTGCCGTTTTCAATGTAATAAAAAAAAAGATCTACCGCTTCCTCCCGTTTTCTAAATATAAACATTTAACTCTATATCTGACTTAGATATCCAAAAAAAGTCGATGGTTAAATTATCAAATTCTAAAAAGTTTTAAAATATCATGTTGATAGATATCGTTATCAACAAGAACGTGTGGTAGAATCTACAAAACCTAATATGTATGCATAGATAAATCAATTACAACTTATTGTTTACATCTAGATTCCAATGATTCCATGAACGTATTCCATAAAAGATGGATACAAACAGAATTTATCTGGGAAATTTACAAACATATCAAATCAAATAACAATCAGAAGATCACAAAGCAGCCAAAGATCAATACAATAATGTTATATTTGACGTTTTACATCTCAATAGAACTACAAAATACCCATATAGAACTCATCAGACCCGTCTGATTTTAATACTAATGGTTGTTATCTAGACAGGGTGAAAGTCAATATCAGGTTCTACACTTAATTTACCATAGGACATAAAAAGACAATTACATTTCGACACAAATGCGAAGTGTCAGAAAATTTATATTACATCGCGCTTCCGGTTTGCTGTATATACATAGTTTTAAAAACTCTCCAAAAATAAACGCTTTGAAAAATAGTAGGATTTTAAAAAAACGAAATTGCTGACACAAAACAAAACTATTTGATGTCAAAAATTAAGAAGTGCTGAATACGTTAATGAAACAGTTAAATTCATCTACCACTACAATTAACAAGAAAAGACACTTAAGAATGAACAAATGATGTTCAACAATAGGCATTCATATGTCAAGGTTCAAACAGCTTAAACGAATAAACAATATCAATGATTTCAATGGAGACTTAAAATGTCTTGATATCAAGTGCATAAACGGACAAACCAATGATATAAACATACTGCCCACGTCATATATAAAACATTCATAAATAAAATTATATTATTATTGACTTGAATCATGTGTTCATTATTGACACCAATTTGAAGAAAACGTGGTAACAAATAGTCGGAAGATACCATGAAGACAGTCAAAACTCATCATTGGAAGAAATTTGCAAAAATAAAATAAAAAATACGACAAAGACGAACAAGTCCATAAAACCAAACATAGAAAACTAAAAACCGACTAGACAGAACCACGTATAATAAACTGTTGATACCAAGATATGTCTCGCTATCGGCAAGAAGTTTAGAAAAAAAAGATCTGATGGTCAGCAACATTGCTTATAAATTCAGTCGCTGGACCATGATCTAGTGGGCAATGCCTGAAAATGGTCGACAAACTGAGATGTAGACAGTAATGTAACTTAATAGAAATATCGTTGTTTATTGTAATTAGCTCCTATCAAACTGACTTAAGCAGAAAACTTAACACTGAATATTGCTAATTAAATTAAGTCACTGGACCATGCCCTAGGGGGCAGGGCCTCGAAATAGTCATCAAACTGATATGCACTGATAGTATTGCAGCTTTATAGAAAATATCACTGATCTATCACAAGAAGTTCCTATCACACTAACTTAAGCAGAAAACTTAACATTAAAACTTGCTTATTAAGTGAAAGTGGCTGGACCATATCCTAGCGGCAGGGCCCCAAAATAGTCATCAAACTGATATAACTGATAGTAAGGCAACTTTATACAAAATATCACTGATCTATCACGCGTAAATCTATCAAACTAACTTAAGCAGAAAACTTAACATTGGAAATTGCTAATCAATTCAATGTAACTAAACCATGACCTAGGGAACAGGGCCTCAAAATAGTCATCAATCTGATATGTACTGATAGTAATGCAACTTTATATTAAATATCAATGATCTATCACAAGTAGTTCCTACCAACAAATGATCAAACTAACTTAAACAGAAAAATTAACAATTGCTGACGCCGTCATCATCGTCGCCGTCGTCGTTGTCGGAAAAGCAAGCCCTATGTCTCGCTTTCCGCGACTTTCGTCGAAGGCGAGACAAAAGCAGAAGTAGACTAAGGTGATCCGGAATGTTAAGCAGTTTCTGATCCACATGTGGAAGCCGTCATGTTCCTCATCCGCAAAACATATCACAACTCTTAGATAAGGTTGCTCAAAATAAATCAATCATTTAGAAGATAACGTGAAACAATTCATGTATGGTATTTGTAAGAACACAACATTCATTAACAAAAATTAAAACATTACTAGCCGTTAACTTACCCTCACAAAACTTTCGACATGGTGGAAATCTTCGTCCATTTCGACACTCAGGAGACAACAAAGCACAAAAGAATGGATTTGAGAATGCATAGCATTGGTTATTTAATAAATCATTAAATTGTTCTAAATTGTCCGTTAGTTCTTTTTGATTTTTATGTCCAGCAAAATTCGGGAAAGACGTTAATTTGTATTCAGAATTGTTAATACACTGCTGTAACGTTATAGACTGGCATAACCCTGAAAATAAAAGAAAATTACAAAAATGATTGATATGCATATTCTGTCTTCACGTTATTTAACAACACCAAAGAATGTCGTTTTTAAACGTTGACATTAGTTTAATTGTGTTATTACCACCAGGCTTATACATGTTAACAATACGGACTAGAGATATGTTCTAGCAAATAATTCAGTAGTGGACACATAATTTGGTCTCATTAAATGATATTATTATGGTTCTGTCAGTCTGCTCGACTTGTTAGTTTACATTTTCCCTTTTTACTTTCATTAAGACATACGACAAATAGAAAGTAGTATTATCAGATACTTACCAGGTGAAACTGTAGTATGTATTGGAGGAGGCCCTACAACATATATTCATACCATACATTATTCGTCATTTAAAATCATATGTAATGCTTTTCTGAATTGTATTTAATACAAACAATTTACGTTAAAAGTATAGGCCTTAGATTGGAAACCTTTATTCATCGAGCATTATATCTGAAGACTTGGTGTTCTTAATGGTATATTTATATCATGTATGAAAAAGTTTTGTTTGCTTTTATACTTTCTAGGTATAGGTTTTCCTCCTGGGTTGGGGTTTGCTTTTTGTTTATGTTTATTATATATCATGATCATTGTATCCCAAATCTTAATATGATTTAAAAGACATTAAGGTATTTTATTTGATTGTTTTTTCATTAGATATTACATTAACGCTTCTTAAATACTTTATGGACTTAGTACGTCAGATATCAGACAGATCCTGTATTCAATTATGAATTGTATCCCTTCTTTTGGAGATATATTATACAATTAATTTCAGTGAGTCTCATACCATTTATGTTTCCAGGGAAAACCTTGCAATTAAAATGAAATAAAGATATATTTCAGAATCATACTCAATAAAATATAATGTCAGTTTAGTAGATTTGTTGTATATTGACGAATTACTTAGAAAGCCATCTAATCGGTAATTGTTATCCGTATGGGAAAGGAAAATGGTAAAACATGAAATAACACAACTGGAAATACCAAGTCATGCATACTATATTACATGTAAATCACTTAAATGCTTTCATAAGGGGAGATTTTCCAAAGGTTAAAGACGGAACCTCAATTAGGTTTTTATAAATCTGATTTCATTGCGAAAGGTCTTACTTTGTCATTGTTCTATAATGAACTCTTTTATATACAATGTTATTATTCTGATTTTTTTAAAAGTCCTTGAATTTGATCACCAACACACAATGTTTACACTAGAACCTATATATTTAACCAAAAAAGAAATTTCAATCGGAAAATATGAAACATTAAATTCTACAAACATGTCTGACCAAACCTTAACACCGGAAGTAATCTCCAGTATTTTCGTTAGTTTTATTGGTTGTCTTTATTGGTCTTTTTTCTTTTGGTTATGGTATTGTCCGTCGTTCTTCGATGTTTTATGACAGCAGATTTCCACTCGTTCCGTTCGTTGATAACAATTTTGAAGGACTTCCACTTTTATTAATTTACCTTGGAGTTTAGTATTTTTGTAATATTTTTCAATTGCCCACTTGAAACCTTCTTCGTTTTTGAACTTAATTTCAAGACAAATTTTACTACCATAAATTCAGTTTAACATGAGTAAAGCACTCTTTTAAGAAGGTTGACTATCCTTATGTTATGACCATAAACCAATAAAATTGCCATGTATTTTTTTCAAATCAAAGTTTGCAAATTTGCGAATGTGTACATCAAATAATGTTACTATGAATTCAGAAATTGTTGCGTATATTTATTATTCAGATTGTTGCATAATGATTCAAAATGCAATATTAATTATTACGATTTCAGAAAATGCTGCTTACAATAAAACATTTTATAATTTAAAATGATTATTTTTATTTTAACGAAACTTATCCCATCGAAAGTTTCGAAATAATACAAAATGCACACATTTTGAATTTTTCTGTATTAAATATTGTCTGCAATGCAGGCATAAAACATGATCAACAAATATCTGTGTGATATAAAGGTAAGTGTTAGACGAACCCAAAACTTTTAAATCATTATGACAACTGCTGCACCTACCTATTGGTAAAATGTTTACATCATTTTTATCTATGAAGAACACACTATCATCCAACTCTGTGATGAGCAATGATTTAATAGACTCTGCTGTTGATGATTTAATATCTACAGATGATTTAAATATTACAGTAAAATGCACAATTACACTTCCTGATCTGAAATGAAAATATAATACTTAATCAAATAAATACATACGGCAATAAAAGTCATGTTTCTTCTTATAAAAGTTAATTGTTGAATATTTCAACGGAATCTTTTTTCGTGAACAACAAAACAAATATATCAGTTTTTTTTCTCAAATCATAATCCCTAGCGTGAAATATTTAAGTCAGTCTTGAATCGCATGTTGTACAATGAAATAAAATGTTTAAACTTTTGAATATCAAACTTCAATCGAACCGCCAAAAATATTTAAATAACAGAGAGTATAAATTCTGATAAGAAAAAACCTTTGAAATGGAATATTCCGTAAGGCCGAAGGTGACGAGACATTTCCTTAAAGACGCAACTGCACTTATTTGGATAAAAACAGATTCATGTATCTACTGGCACAAAGTTGTTTAATCCATTTATACAAATTCGCTGTAGTAAATTCAGAACTGTTCAGACATATCGCTTGCAGTCGTTTTTTGATGTATTTCATAAGTGGTTCTCGTTTCTCGTTTTTTATATAGATTAGATTAAATCGTTGGTTTTTTCTGTTTAAATGGGTTTACACTAGTAACTTTTGTGGCCCTTTATAGCTTGCTCTTCGGTGTGGAAGGCCGTATTTTGACCTATAATGGTTCACTTTTACAAATTGTGACTTGGATGGAGAGTTGTCTCATTGGCACTCATTCCACATCTTCTTATATCTATTGAACTAGCTGTTTCATACTAAAGGATGAGGTATGTTATTGTCAACTGATTTTTATAGTTTGTTCTTTTTTCGTACTGTTACACCATTGTCCCAGGTTAAGGAGAAGGCTTGGCGCCAGCAAACATGTTAAACACCGACACATTCTGTATGTGCCTGTCCAAAGTCAGGAGCCTGTAATTCGGTGGTTGTCGTGTACTGTTGTATATCATATTCATTTATTGTTTTGTACATAAATCAGTCATCTAATTTTCTCATTTTAATTGTTTTATATTTTTCATTTTTGGGCCTTTTATGGCTTACAATGTGGTATTGGTTTTGTTCATTGTTGAAGGCCGTATGGTGACCTATAGTTGTTGACCTCTATGTCATTTGGTCTCTGGTTGAGAGTTGTCTCATTGGCATTTATACCACATCATTTTATCTTTATTTCATAAAAACTAGTAGTTTTTTTTTAAATTTATATTTGGGAAAACACTTTTCCTCGTAAATATCAACAATACTAATATTCTGTACAAGGATACGCAGTAATACTGATCAAATTAGATAAACGTTACCAGAGTGTTACAAACTACGGTTACAGAAAGAAAATTTCAATTAATATCTCTAACATGAAAAAGCAAGCGATAAATGATAAACTTGATTAAAAGTATGAATTTGCTTAATTGCTTGGAATAAGATATCATTGTTGAAACTCCACAAGTATTAGATTTGTAACTATGAAACCACTGTGCGAAGAAGTTATGTCTCATTTTACTTCCGCGTATAACCTCATTCAAGAACTTAATGCATAAAAGCCAGCGTGTTTCATCAATTGAATGAACAATTGTCAATAAAATTCCAAGGTCTGATTGATAAAAAATTCGTTACAAAGAAATGTATCATTCAGAAATATCGACTTCTCTATGATATAAAGACTACATACCGATATAGGTTAAAAATATCTTTGGCATAATTATAAAGAAAAATCACACGATGCAACTTGTGAAAATTAAGGCGACAGTAATTTAACGATGTGCAAATCTCTTCATTCCTAGAAGAAAAATCAAAGCAACAAAGAAAAATTGAAGTACTGCAAATGTTGTGAGGCCGGGTGCATCGCCATGATAAGCGTTTTCTTCTCGGTCAAAATGTCACAATCTTCAAGGCCAAAAATGAAATTTAAATGAAATTTAAATTGTTTGATGTTGCCTACCTACCCACCTAAACATGTAAAAAGCAGCCTATCCAAAAAAATCGTCACAAATCGTCTAAGATTTTTCTATTAAAGATTTTGTCTATTCTTGTCTAAAACATGTAACTTATGCTGTAGGCCAAGAAAAAATCTATACCTACCTTCCCAACCCTAGAGGGCATGGGTAGGCAAAATCCAACAAAGAATTTCTTAAGGGTGGCCCAATAGAAATCACATAAATTACACTGCAACGGATTGTACTGGTATCTAAAGATCTAAGATCGAAAACATGTAGCTAGTGAGTTGAAACACCAGTTTGATCATGTATAAAAAAGGCTGGAATTATATTTACTAATTTTGCAATTTCAAATAAGGTCAAATAAGTGGCTCTTACGATAGCTACCCCATTCTGATGAAGTATATAACTTATTGTTAACCTAAACACCAATACGAGATGTTTCATCACACATCTATTTTAAAATTTAGCATTCACTAGTGTATGGTTACTTTTACCAGAAAAATATAACATACTTACGATAATGAATTGATGATGGTTGAATTATATACAGATCTATAATCACTTGTATGAAATATTGCATTTATCTGGAAAAAAAGGTAAATAAAACAGTCGTTAGACGGTTATCTTAAATCAGCCGTGTATAAATTTAGAACTTTTAAGAATCTATGGTTTCAACTTCCTGAGTCAAAGTTGACCGAAGATGGGTTTGGCTATTACTTTTGTGTCCTTTTTGGTCATAGCTCTGCAATTGCTTCGGTTCTTGTAAATCTTGTCTTTCTAGTATTTGGCTTTCAGTGCTCCTGATGAAGGTAAATCCATAAAGCGCTTCGGACGAATAAAATCTATAGAGTGTTGTTTTAAACATTTGCAAACAATTAGAGGCACTGATTAAATGCACTTTTCACTACAACTCGAGGAGTCGATCGCGTGTATTCGGTGTGCAAGTTAAAATAGTTCTTTATAATAATTTATGGATTATATGTCTACAAATTTCCCTTAAGTTAAAAAGATCAACAAACGCATCATATAATGCCATTAATTTGTAAAACAATATAATGAAATCACAGAATATTTTTTGGATTGACAAGCTGACAGTGCATCGAGCAATGGATGAAAAATTTGTTTGGACAAAAACTATAAATTGCAGTCCTTTTCTGTTACCTTCAAACCTTTTACTTCAAACGAGAATAACGGTTGGTGAATATGTTGTGTGTGGTATCTGTATCTTTATAAATAAGAAGATGTGGTATGAGTGCCAATGAGACAACTCTCCATCCAAGTCACAATTTGTAAAGGTAAACAATTGTAGGTCAAAGCACGGAGCTTTGGCTCACACCGAACAGCAAGCTATAAAGGGCCTAAAATGACTAGCGTTAAACCATTCAAACAGGAAAACCAACTGTCTAATCTATATTAAAATCGAGAAACGAGAAACACCTATGAAACCACACCAACAAACGACAACCACTGAACAACAGGCTCCTGACTTGGGAGAGGGGCATACAAATGCAACGGGTTTAAACGTTTTAACAGGCGCCAACCATCACCCTAACCTGATACACAGTAGTGTAACATTACAACATAAAAAGACACTATAAAATATAAATTGAAATGGCTTAACTCGAACAAAAAGACCTTAAAACAAAACAAGTAAACATACACTAAACGAATAAGTTTGATCTATGACACAATATAAATATAATATTAAGGTGGATCATCGGTATATATTTCCTCAGCTAGAATTTTCCTACACTTTGCCAAAACGAAGATTTTACTATGATTTTTTTTTTTATTATAATAAAAAGTATGGGTCACCGTGCTATTTTTCAAGCTACAAGTCGTGCAAAATTGCACAAATTTGCATAGATTGTTCATGAAAAAACACATTTTTGTGAATGAATAGAAATCTATGAGATAGAATTTTGAAATAAAATATGAGAAGATAGGCTTTATAATATGCTTTAAGAAATAAGCAGAAAAAAAATGGTGTCACCGAACTTGCTTTCTTACTACAAGTAAAAAATGAAAAGTTCACTATCATTCCAGTAAAAAACTTTTACTATAAGAGTTATCTCCCCTTAAATGACTAAGTTCAAAAATGTATTCTAAAAACACAAATATTTGGTATTTGTTTAAACATTTTGCATAATCCAATCAATCACTTATTTGTCTTTATATAATTAAATAGTCTTACACATAAATTGCAAGTCTGTCTCAAAATTTGCAGATATAGGCAAAGAACTAGACCGATTATGTATTGCAATTATACAATCTAAGATGGTGGTATACAGTGAATCTACCTTAAAACGTAGGTGCTTATATAACATAAACGTTACCGGTATTAATAAAAAAAAAATGTGAATAAGAGTGTCTTAAGTTCATCATGCGAGAAGAGTGATGCGATAAAGTAAGGCAACACAAATCAATTAAGATGACAAAAATTGAGTGAATCGTATGAACTTCGATATGAGTAAGACCGGGTAAGTCGACAGTGAAAGCGTCCCCTGTCCTGCATGAATCACCAGCCATTCGAATTCCCACTCAGTTAAAATTGGGAAAACATCATCGGCACGGCCTTGTATTTTTTTCCGTTTCTAAGCCTTATTCTTTTATCGTTATAAGTAAGGAACCTTATGTTCAGTGGTTGTCGTTTGTTGATGTGGTTCATAAGTGTTTCTCGTTTCTCGTTTTTTAAAAAGATTAGACCGTTGGTTTTCCTGTTTGAATGGTTTTACACTAGTCATTTTTGGGGCCCTTATAGCTTGCTTGCTCGGTGTGAGCCAAGGATCCGTGTTAAAGGCCGTACTTTGACCTATAATGGTTTTCTTTTGAAAATTGTGACTTGGATGGAGAGTTGTCTCATTGGCACTCATACCACATCTTCTTATATCTATATAATGTCGAGTCAATACAATTTCATCGTATATTAATACGTGTATTATATTTAAGAGGAAGAAATACAAAGGGGACAAACAATTCTCACAAGTCGAAGAGCAAACGGACAACGGCAAGGCAAAAAACGGAAAACCAGGAAAGGGTAAAGAAAACCACAAAAAAATTCACTGAAAACTAAATACTGAGCAACATGAAACCCACTAAAACTTTTAGTGTTCTCAGTCGCTCCAGAAAGGTAAACAGATACCCTGAACTTTTTCTTCTTTTACCGCTTTTCCCATTAAGAATAACTAATAATGAAAGTTAAAGTTATCAATATAAAATTTTATAAATGTTCAAAATGGGCTTCCGTTAAATTGCTTAATTGGAAATGAAACAAATACATGAATATGTTGTTCCTGTTGTCAAATAATATTTCGGTATCAAATGATGTTGATTTACCACACATTTGACGTTCTGATATAGATTGATTGTTTACTGTGCTGTCACCATAGGTTTATTCGAATATCAAAAGTATGGTTAAGATAAGATTACATTCCATTATTTATAACATCATGTATGAAATAATTATTTACAAATAAAATAAAAGTATTGTTATTTAAGTGTCATAAAATGTGGATCAATGATCTTTGAATCTATAAGCCTGGAGACTGTTATCTGAAATTCAAGAGAACTGAATGCTTATTATACAATGTTTCCCATGAGTAATAGATCTTATGTAATCATTTACAAAACGAATTTTCCTTGATTAAAACTGGTTTATATCTGTCATATTACCTCGCATTTTCAATACAAATTTAAGATATTTATTTTAAGAATTGATACATGCCGATTAAAAATGATTCCGATATTCATCAGGAATAAATATCTTTGGTGCTTGATTTTTGGTTAGTTGTTATTGGCATCGAAATAGCTTTCAGTCACTGCGAGAAGTCACAGATCGGTACTTTGTGTCGTTAGGGTCCGTGTCAGTTGTGCTTGTGCTTTGTATCGATCTGATTAGACAAACCCTTCTCAACTGAATTTTTATAATTTGTTCTTATGTTGTGCAACCACACCATTTCCAAAGGTTATGGGAGGGTTAGTCTCTCGCAAACATGTTTGACCCCGCTACATTTCGTATGTGCCTATTCAATGTCATGAGCATGCTAATTTAGTGGTTGCCGTGTGTTATTGTGTATCATGTATGTTATTTTTATTTTTTTGAAATAAATCAGGCCTTTGGTTTTCTCATTTGGTAGCTAGTTCTCTCATAGGCAATCCTACTACATTTATATAGATCGATTTTATTACACATAACACTCCGGTTTCTGGAATAATATAAATTTTGGATTCTAGATAATGTAAGGATTCTTGTTTCAACTCCCAAACAATAAGTGCCAAAGAATTAAGTAATCAGATGGTGACTAAATTGTCTTCTTTGACAAAGTAATCAAAGTCGCATATTTGTGTAATATATATTTCTGTAGTTAACAGGATATGAGGACGCGTCTTTGACTTTCTAATTCTACCTTCATATCACTTGAAAGTGACTCCTATGTTATCGAAACATGTTGAAATAATATTATAGATTCATGTTAAATACTTCTGTAGTACTGATGATAAAGTACAAAATACGCCTGTGAAACTTCATTTTAGGGATTGGAAAAGATCTAAGAATAGTGAACATTAAAAGAGAACTTTTATCCACACTGATTATTTTAATAGCTTTTCTAAATATGGTACTATTTAGAAACAATAAAGACGAGAGGTTTCAATTAATTACTTTAGGATAGGAATCAACCGCTGTTTCTTTACCATTTTTCGAGATAATAACTTAAAAGAAAATGTATTGATACCGTTCACACTGTGTACAACCTATTGGTATCTTTTGCAAGTGTTGTTTTATGTTTTCAAAAGAAGTCTTTGAAGAATGGAAAAAGGCGTTTGTACATTTATTGTCGTTATAACATGTAGAGAAGGATATGAGAAGCCTTCCGGAGCACCTATAATTAAAACTTACATATGTACTTTTTGATCAAGTTTAAACAGAACATAATACCTAGCTTTTAACAGAACTGCTGACGACATATTATATCAAATCTGAAAACTGTTGTCGAAATTTTCAATACTGCAATTTGATTTTTGTTATCAAGTCGTTATACTAAATCGTAAATTCCAAGATTATATTATATATTATAATTTGATCGATTTTAAACTTTCAAATCTGCATTTCGTTTTTATTCGGCAAGAGCTAACGACCGAACATTTACAATGGAAATGCAAATTCAGAAAATATATTTATATAATCATTATTGCATATCATTGTGTGTGTACAAAAATATTACACTAGAATAAAAATATCAAAATAAAAGAGTTTCTATCGCCAGGTGTCCGTAAATAGAAAATCGTTGAATACAAGTTAAGTGTAATGTACTGATTAATTGATTTTTGGATGTAAATATAAAATATAAAAGAATAATTTCATTGAAGTTGCACAATTTGACCTGTGTCAATATTTTCAATAAATAATTGCTATCTTTAACTTTCCGATGAATTTCATGACGTCATACATACTATATCTTGAAACAAAAAACCTTACGACATAATTCATCAATTATTCCTGATTTGCGTTGTATACATTTATTTTCTAATACTCCCATTTCAATACGTCAAATAATGTCGTAAGTCAAAGAGACATTCATGTATATTTCAATGTTTTATTTCCATGTTTGGACGAAATTAACATCATATAACTTTATACTGCTATATGAAGAGAATCGTAACAGATGCAAATTAAATTTACAGTCTACTTTGATAAAAACAATTACCAATCCACCCACCACCCATAAACATCTGATGCCAAAACGCGAGATGAATCCGACAGCAGTGTTTACTGAACAATCCATTCGGAATCTAGAAGCAATTGACTCGATATCCGTTTTTATTTTGCATGTAAATAACCATGATTAGGTAACACTGTCTATCAGAAGCTTAATATTGCTAAATAAGCAAAGTTTCATCAGTCAGATAAGACACCACTTTCTGTGAATCAATATTGCATTGGCTGTAATAGATAGAGAATGCTAATAACAAACGTACATTGGTAAACAATGTCATATACTAATCTCGTCATAAAACTTATTATTGTTCACAAAGATGTCTTGTTATTTGGGATGTATGCATTAGCAAGAAGGACTACACATTTGTTTCCAAATTTTAGTGTATGACTTTAGCCCTTGTTTTCAAAAACCTAAATTCACTCTATAATTAAAAATTCATAGATTACGTTATTTCCTTTATTGAACGGTATTGTGAATTCATTTTTGTTGGATACCAATTTTCGGAGATTTAATGGGTATAGGTAAACTATGATTTTAAATGTTCAACGAAGTAGAAATTTTCTGTTAACATATGGCTTTGGCAAAACCACGAAATCAAATATCCTCGAAAATACACTTTTTCCTCAATCCATGCACATTGGTATCCACGAAAATAAACCAATCCACAGTAGTATAGGAATAAGGTGGAATACCATCAGAACAAATACGTCACATCCGGTTTCATGTGTATAAGGACTTAAACAGCAATCACTAAAATACTGTATGTACGATTTTCTATGAAATAAGCCCCGTATTTAATCGCATAAATATGTTCTGTGCAAAATGATTTCAAGTGTGCCTTTTTGTTTTTTTTTTATCTATGGGTTATATCAAAAGTAATATTAAATTTGAAGGGAACAAACAATTTTTGTCTCAGATTACAAGCAGAAGGGGAAAAGGGTATGTTCAAACTACTTTCTACCTAGTTAAGATTATTTTATGTTATTGCGTGTAATATTCTTCACTAGGAGTAACTGATAGGTTGTAATTTCTGTATACAGAGCAAGTCTATATTTGAAATAAAATTCGATTGGAAATATCGATATAGATATTTACGAAGAACAATATGTAATAAAATATGTAGCCCAATACATAACAATGGTTGGGATTATATATTTGTAGTTAGATATTTTGTAGAAAGTAAAAAAGCAAAAATACCGAAGTCCAAGGAAAATTCATCAAAACGGAAACTCTATTATCAAATGGCAAAATCAAAAGCTCAAACACACCAAACCAATGGAAAACAACTGTCATATTCCTGACTTAGTACAGGTATTTCCTTACGTAGAAAATGGTGGATTAAACCTGATTTTATAGCTAGCTAAACCTCTCACTTGTATGACAGTCGCATAGAATTCCATTATATTGACAATAATGTGTGGACAAAACAAATTTTTGGTTAATAAACAAGTCAATCATGTCTCCGAGCAAAACGGGAAATGTAGCTCAAACAAATGTAACATAAAGTACTATGGAAGTTATACATTTGTTTTTCTACTTCTAACCAACACTCTCTATTGAAACAAACTGGAAACATATTCTTTGAGAGGAAACAAGTTGTAGCAACTTATAATTGTATAGTCAAATTCGAGCTTTCGGAAAAGCGTTTCTGAACAGGACAAAGCTAACACTCTTTGTTGGATTTGATGTAATGTGTTGGTTATGTCTACATATGTTCTGTATGTACCCCGACAATATTTTAATATTACGCGAACGATTCGCATGAACCTGCAGTTACTACGAACATTTCAAGGTGAGTTTCATATACAACCATCTACAACAATTGGATGAAAGGCTTCTGGCAGGCATATATAGAATGTGGCGGGGTCAACCCATAACACGGATTACTTAACAAGTGTACGAGTGCTTATAAAGAGCCTTTAGTCTGTCTTAAGTCAGGAACCTGATGTTCAGTTGTTGTCGTTTGTTGATGTGGTTCATAAGTGTTTCTCGTTTTTTATATAGATTAGACCGTTGGTTTTCCTGTTTGAATGGTTTTAAACTAGTAATTTTTGGGGCCCTTTATATCTTGCTGTTCGGTGTGAGCCAAGGCACCGTGCTGAAAGCCGTACTTTGACCTATAATGCTTTACTTTTACAAATTGTGACTTGGATGGAGAGTTGTCTCATTGGCACTCATATCACATCTTCTTATATCTATTTAGCCTTAAATTCAATCGGAGGACATGACAAATATTAACCAAATTTATTGGATAGCCTTGAGATCGATGCGTAATTAATACTTGTTAATCAATACAAAATGGTTCTGTCTCAACGAAAACAATGTAATTTCTTTATACCCTGAATAACATCATCTTTAAAACAATGAACACAAACGCCCCAGAATGGTTAGTAGTATCTGATGTCATAGCAAATAGAACAATACAAACAGCGTTTTTACTTTCTGTAGAATCTTTCTAATAAAAAAGTAAAACATAACATTGCAAATTTTCACTGTTGCTCATTACACTGTCTAATACGTGCAGGTTGAGTGCGTCAGCCAACAACTATGACTTGATCATACTTCAAATCAAGCAAAGTTACAAGTATCAAATCAAAAAGAAATCGAAAAACTTCGGTAAAAGCCGGAGTTTCGAGGTAGTCTACGGAAACAATGTATTCGATATCAAGCATTGTAGATATTAATATAATTTAACCATAATTTCCCTCATAAAACTAATACAAAATTACATCAAAAAGCAAGTTATGTTGATCAGAAAATACATTTACTTACTTTATAAATAAAACTATTTGAAAAATAACGATACGCCTCCGATTTGGAGTCTTTTAATGATGATGTATATACAGAAAATGGTCCCTGGATGATCTTTACTCTGCCCGATATCCTACTTGTTTTAAAAAGCACTGAAATATAAAATATTAAAAATTAAAATATTATGCTAGCAAAGAAGTATACAATCATATACATTGTATCATCATATATATATTGATATATGTAAATTTTATGATTCCAACAGCAAAAAGACAAGGTTGAATGTCGTACGTCAGCGTCCCTTTTCTTGCTTTACATTCATCAGGATGTCGATCTCAAAACTAAACATTTGAAAGCCCGGGATGTATAACTACGTAGAAACGATAGGAGCTTTATTACCAAAAATGACCTAAAATGAAAAAGTCTTCTGATTAATTGAAGCACTTGTCGCATTTGTAAAGAACCGGGCTATTTAATCGTATATATTTTACATTGAATACTAGTATGGTCTGTACTGTCCAAATGTATTGATACTTCCTGTTTACATTTTTTTATTTATTGTGTTCATCATCAAAAATAACAACTTCGTATACATATAAAGATAACGAGTCCACTTATTTGCCTTACATCGGCATAATGTAGTGACAAAGACACTGTTTTGCCTAAGACTTCAGTGTATGTGTATACCATTTGGTTCTATTAAGTCATTGGTGTTTTGTCTCACTGACTTCAGACCTGTTGTCACTATCAAAGGTTTCCATATAAAAATGTGGGCATAGAACAAGAAGAAGTCAGATGTTGTCACTATCAAATTTTTTCATCAAAACCTTGGTCACAGAAAAGGCAGGAATTGAGTTCTACAAAATGAAAAATGGCTTCAATAAACATCTCATAGAATGACTGCATTGCTCTTTCACTGTGTAGTCTGTGTATAACCATTTCGATATTGCGAAGAGAAATCTAACAAGAGTGTGGAGACAGGGGACAGGAAACAAGTTACTAAGAAGAAAACAGATTAACTTTTAATACTCTCTTTTTAAGAACTTAGAGTGATGACCCTGTGGTACATAGAAATTCTGTTAAAACTTATAGTGAGGACCCTGTGGAATTTAGAAATAATCTTGAATGGTCACGAGATATTCAATCTGCTTCTATGTAAAGCTGAACAACTGATTAAAGTAAATTCATCGATCCTTTCATTTCTATGAAGCAATTTTCTTTTGCACTTCCTGGATCTTTACCTATCTTTTCCATCAATTTTGCATTTATTTTGTACATTAACAATTGCATCATTCTTAAACTATGACTATGATTAACTAATTCTTGTCAAAGTCTATCCACGTTTAAAAAAAAATGATGAGATTTCTTCAATCAAAGATTGTTTTGACGGTTGTCACTTTATAAAATCTTTCAAAAACTTTGACCAAATATTCTTGGTTTTCTACAGCAACAATGCTAATCTGAATATACTCAACATGTTTTAAATTAAGATCATATGTCCACGCTGCGCGCTTACAAGATTCATCAGCTAACGTTCAATTTTACTTTCTTGGATAAGACGTTTTCGGGATCCTCGCTATGATACACGCCTTCAAAAATAAGGCAGCAGAAATCTAATTGGTTGATACAATAATTATCAGAACAGAGAGTTAGAACACAGTTCTGTTAGATCCGTGTAACCGAAGCGTTACTAGCTTGACAAGTAATATTGTAAATCGAAAGTAAGATGTCCTCTTTTATGAGAATTCGTAGTGATTACTCGAAGATCTAATTGGAAAATCGAATGTTCATGATCTAAACATTGAAAATAATTTTTATAACTCTAGGTGCCTTTGTACTGATTAGCAAACACGTAGCCTGATTATTATTCTAGTTTTAATGGGTGATGGAAAATTCTAAAAATATGTATACTGACTTATAGAGTAATTGTTCTATCACGGAGCGATATCCCAAATAAACGGTATTATTCCGAACAAGAGTTACATATAACTCGTATAGGAGGAAATCGTTTATTAATGTGATAAACAGAAATTATTCTTGTTTAAAGGAAATACCGTTCATATGGTTCATACGGAGCAAGAAATATGTTGTGAAATATTAGATAAGTCACGGTGAATACCCATACTACGTCCTTGAGCAGCAAATTGTTATCTCTCTTTTTCAAATAGTTTGACAATGATTACACATAGTTCCAACCCTTCAGACACAGTTGACCATTGATGGATTGGCTATTCTTGAAAACCGCTTCAGACGCATCAAATTCATATAGTGTTATTTCATTCACACGCGGACTTCAAAGAAGACACTGAACTGATCTGGGATGTTAACAGCAATAAGCCTTCGAATAATAAATTCGTCTGTTGTAAAAAGCATAAAACCAGCAAGGAAACCATAATCGTATAAAATTCGTATATCACAACATACTTTTGCACAACTTCACTTTTTTAAGTAAAATGACTGATAGTTTACTGCTCGTCTACTCCTTACATATTTCCTTATCAGTTGTTTCGATCGATTGAAATGTCTAATTACTTACTAACAAATCACCCAGACGTCGTCTGACGGTGCTTGCCCTTTAGATTTTTTTAATTAGGGCCTTGTGTAAATTAGTTAAAATAACAGGAAATATAATACATTTGAAATAGCACATATATGTAGGTACATATTGTTATAAATGCACGTGAGCTCTATAATAGAATTAGTCGATGACAGATCAACTATTTTGAAAAGGGGGCTGTTTAGTAAATTAAAGTCTTTCTATTTTTTTTAAGTTTGTCAATGATTGCAAATGGTTCTAACCCTTCTTAAATAGTTGATCTTAGTTGGATTGACCAGTTTTCATATGGTTGAAAATGAAAAATATTATTGTAATGTTCTATTATAAATTTGTATATAATAGAAAAACAAAGGATATGGGGGTATCCATTCATGATACAAAATCAGGACATGCACAGCAAAGCACACACAAAAAGCAAAGGAACAGCGCTTTGATTGCTGTTTTTCATCTCAAAGTCACAGTGAGGCCTTCAGCACTGAGCAAGAAAAAAAATAATAATCAAATAAACTAACCTACTGGTTTTTCTTCATCAGATTTACCTGCAATATAAATAATAAAATATTAATAATCTTATATGTACTATAAAAGTAAGGAGATTTGTTATGATTACAAAAGGGAAAACTGTCCACCAAAGACCAATGGACAGTATATTAGTGTACTTTCCAGTTCGCCGTTTCAGAATCTAAAGCATTCTGGGTAATATTTTCAAAAGCGTTCACAAATTAAAACATATTAGCCAGTATAGACATATATTGACACGTTTTCTGAGGTTTTAAGTTTCGACGGGATGCTGTTTCATATCTCCCTTTTTATACTTATCATTAATGTGACAAAAGTCTGTTCATGTTAAACCCAAATTCCGAAAAATTATAGAAAAACAGAGGATAAAAATAGCAATGGCAATAAAAGTTAAAACATCTTAAAACAAGACTAGCTTTAAATGTAGTGGGCACAAATACAGAGGAATACATGTACACGTAATTGCTTCTAGTGGAAAGGTCAATATTTTATTGTTTATTTACTTTGGAACCATTGTACAGATTAAAAGTTATTTTCAAATCCCAATGTGTAGTTTTACAGTTATCTGTTCACTCGGTGTTATTTCAAATATTTGTATTTTGGATTACTATCATTACTGAAGCAGACAAATGCATTAGAAGGTTTGTTACAATTAGTTTGTTTGATGTTTATCTATGGTAATTATTGAAGGAAAACAAAACACATCTGAAAAAGAAAATTCCATAAGGTACAGCGGAAAATATGACGAGCTAAAATTATCGTCTTTTCAATGTATTTGCATTAAATGCATTATTTATAATTATATAATCTTTCAATCATTTTAATTGAGGTCTAGAGCTGGCATGTCAGTAACTGCTAGTAGTCCTTTGTTCATTTATGTATCATTGTCATTTTGCTTAGTTTCTTTTGTTACCTTTTCTGACATCGGACTCGGACTTCTTTTAAACTGAGTTTTACTGTGCGTATTGCTATGTGTTTCTTTATTCTACATTGGCTAGAGGTATAGGGGGAGGGTTGATATCTCACAAAACATGTTTAACCCCGCCGCATTTTTGCACCTATCCCAAGTCAGGAGCCTCTGGCCTTTGTTAGTCTTTTATGTTTTTAAATTTTAGTTCATTTATATGTTTTGGAGTTTAGGGTGACGTCCATTTTCACTGAACTAGTACACAATTTTATTTAGGGACCAGCTGAGGACCACCTCCGGGTGCGGGATTTTCTCGCTGCGTTGAAGACACATTGGTGGCCTTCGGCTGTTGTCTGCTCTTTAGCTGGGTTGTTGTCTCTTTGACATATTCCCCATTTCCTTTCTCAATTTTATTTGCCCCTTTGCATCTGCCTATCATAAGTGATATTAATATTCTTAAAGTGGTAACTAGATAATCATATTATAAATACATGCAAGATAAGCATATTACAAATACATATACCAGGCTAACAGTTTTGTACGCTAGACCCGTGTTTCGTTTACAAAAAACTCATCATACAGTGACAATCGAATCTCAAATGTTAAACAGGCCGAACAAAGTACGAAGTTGAACACTATTGAGGACTCGAATTTCCGAAAGGTTTTGCCAAATACAGCTAAGGTTATCTTTTTCTGGATTAGAAAAATATTCCTATATTCCACTGCATTTTTAGTGATACATTGTACATTCATTTACCGGCTACTGTTTGCGTATGAAACACTCCGTTTGATAGAGGAGGGTTGGTATTGGGTTTACAGAATAATGGAACAGTACCACAGTAGGCAAAAAAAAAAAGAATAGAAAAAATGATCAAACAAATGAAGAATAGAGAATAATAGAGTGATAAAATATACGAAATAGAGAATAATCAGCAAAAAATGTAAAGAATAGAGAAGAATGACATTAAAAGTTAAAGAATACAGAACTGAAAGACCCCCCCCCCCCACAAAAAAAAAAATTTTAAAAATCCAGACGCTCATAGAGTATGCGACATTGTACATCTGCTAGTTGCACATGCAAAGGGCACAGTTTGAACTAAAACTGCACGTATACGTCACGTTTTGAGTAAATGAAACACTTCCTGCACGTTAATAGCACAAGGAGACATCTCTTTTTGGAAGTTAGCTTGTTGTAAAATAACATCAATTTTTCGTATTGAAGTTTAATCACCCGCTTAGTGTCATCTATTTATAAAATCATACGAACAAACCAAGGTTAACTACATGTTGTCCGGAATAATCATGACAAACATGCTATAAGCTACTAACAATGGTTCTTCACGTACAACAAATAGAATACGGATTTAGTGGGAAATGTAAAAACCACTAACAGATAAACACGGTAATTGTCGAGAATGAAAAGTATCCTTCAAGGCAATTTTACAGACGTTTTGACAGAGAACCAGGAGCGTTTAATCGTCCGTTTTAAATACACTTCCTTTACAAGCACTTACAGGACTTAGTTAGTAAAATGGGCATTGGATCGTAAAATCTCTCCACTAATTAACCATCTGAGTTATAAACTGTTGACATTGACGGTTTCCAGAGGGAAAAACCAATAACAATACACATCGTGAAACGTCTACACATAGACGTTAACGTCTAGTTCCTGTAGCCTTAAGTGAGGTGATGTTTGCGGTGTATGGAAGCAATATTTGAAAATGTTTTCTTTGCGACGTCAATTTTTTTTTAAATAAACATAATCGCATTTTGATTTTTTGTATTTTTAAAGCGACGATCAGATTTACACATGCAAGTTCTTAGGCTAATCTCGAACAGCTAAAAATTATAGAATTTGGGATTATTAAATGAGTGAGGGGAAAAAAGAAAGAAAAAAAACACTGTCCATATAACTGACATTATACAAACTTTGTGTTTTTGCAAAAATGGGCGAACGAAAGAATGATAGAAAGAATAGATTGACACAATATAAAATATGTATAAATATACAACATTAAAAGATGCCGGACACTTTGTTGTACATGACATTTGTCACAATCTCTTTAGTCTCAAAGATTGACTGGAGTCACCCCAGACTCCATCCATCAAACAGGGAAAACTAGCTGAAGAGGGGCATTTGTGTTTGTATAGATCAACATCACGTCAGAATGGATTGGTTTAATCAGATACTCATCTAGAATCGAAGTTTCAGTCCTTCAGGCAGGTTTTGCCACTTTTCAGAACGTACTTATTCTATGTGTTGCCACTTTGTTTTTGAATGTGAATGAAATATTTAATTACCAGTGTCCCATTTACATTTTCGTTATCCTTTTTTTTTTCATTGCTTTTTCATCGACTCCATATATCCTGCGGGTAATAATCAAACCATAATTTAGTGATTGAGTGGTGCTTGCTTAACTTCCAGTGTAAATTATTTCATGCATATCCAGGACGATAAGCTGTTAACCATGAATACAATACTAGTTAGGATCTACGAAATGGGACGTTAGGGATGAAGGATGAGAAATTTTGATTGCCATAGGAAAACAATCTCATGGTATATAGGGGTAGTAATCTTGCCTTGCAACAACCCACTTACGGACCCCTCAAACAGTTGTTACAAGAGTTCTTAAATATGCAGAGAGCGTGGTACTCTCTCTTCACAAGGCATCGGATTTAAAGTCTCCATTCTGGCCTCACAAGGTTGCGAATTTAACCATCCGACACAGTCAAACTGACGCCCTAAATTGTCAAGGATTGTACTGCTGGTCGGAAGGAGATCAAGGTGACCATTTTTTGTACATCATATAAAATATATAGATGTGGCACAGAGTATGATTCCCAAATGAGAAGACTATCAAACACAGGCCGGCCAGGTGACTTAGATGTTAGCAACTCAGTCAACCTTGGGGTTTTAAACTATTATATACAACATTATAAAGTCTTAGAGTGCCGAAATACAACCCTCATAATCTGGCTAGGTTAAGACAAACTTTGAGAGATTCGAGATGCTTCGGGATTTAACTATAATCATATGTGTAACAAAAGAAATTCTCTTGTCGAACAACTTGTGTCATTGTGAGACAAATCCAATATCTTATAAACTTTATCAACATATCAATAATAACCATAGAATTTCTTAAGGGACAACTTGTTTACAATGTTTATCACTTTACTAAGTGATATTTCATATAATAAACATGTTCTATAATTTTACTGAATGAATATGGAAATGAAGGTCGGAATGATAATGCTTAAGATGTAGAGTCGAAAAGATAAATTGATTACTACATATACAGAAAATAATCATTTTTATTGTTAAGAATACATTTAAGATTTATACATATATACAGAAGGACTGTTTTTAAATTATTATTTCTTGAATGACCGAAACCACGGGGGTTTTCAGATTTGAACAAAATGTTGAAGACCTGCAAATTATAACTTCTAGTGTAAATTTCTCTAAAACTTGATCTAAACACAACGTATCTCAACTATATGTTGTTTGTATAAGAGGTGATATGCGGTAACCCTAAGTTAGACAACTAAAAGGATTTACTAACATAAAAAGAGAAAAGAGGAGAAGATACTCTAACCGGGGGGGGGGGGGGGTCAAAACACCATAACATGAATAGACAAACAGACAGCACCACGGTAAAATGTAAATGTCAAATAGACAAAACAGCAGTCAAATAAATTCATCATAGATACCAGGATTGAAATTTTGTATTTGCGCTAGACGCGCGTTTCGTCTACAAAAGACTCATCAGTGACGCTCGAATCAAAAAAGTTAAAAAGGTCAAAATAAAGTACAAAACAAAACAACACTTCAAAGAAATATAATGATAAAGTTCACAAAAATGCATCTTTAGATCAACAATTATTTGGCAATAGCAAACAGATGCACAGTGGTCTATTTAGAAAAAAATCTATACTTCCGTCTTCGCAATTTACGTTGCGCAGTAACGGCGCTCTCATTATATAACAATTACAATTAATAAACACTTAGAAGATGCATCTTTACATGGTTTTTTTTCTGAAATTAAATTAGGAAAGTCGACATCTGAAAAGATTTGGAAATTTAGAAAATACTAATTTAAGAATATTAAATCTTGAATTTGGAATACCACTTAAACGGTTCTGTCCGGGATCAGGTGCAAGATATTCAGTTGTTTTCGTTGGTTGATCTCTACCATTTATTTGTTTAACGTTTTTGTTTTGTCATAATTCAGGTCGTTGGTTTTCTAGTTTTAGTAGTTTCAGCTTTTGTCACCCTTTAAATCCTTGGATAGATTGTCTGCAAAAATGATTGAGTCCAGCGGCAAATATTTCAACATATGCAGGACGATGCAAAAATAACATTGCAAAAACATGAAAAATCATCTGATATGGACGTTACTTATTTTTTCATGATTATTTAGGACAACAGCGTATAAAATATAGCCGTTTCGATTATTATAAACCAACCAAATTCAACCCATAACATTGAGGTCAACAGTTCAACAGTTAGTACTCTGCTATAAGGACTGTTGAGCCATCAACAGTTTGGTTGTGGTTTCCAGAAACTGACAAAAAGTCTGATTTTATAATAATTAAACCTTACGATAGTGGCCACGAAGACTTCGAGCGTGAATACTAGTTATATATTAAAATCATGCACTTACCTGCAAACACTACTAAAAGAGCTATGATCAAGGCAATAAGAATAATGGCTATCACTACAGTTGCAAAAATACGCAAATATTTGTGTCTTTGATTTGTCTTCCGGAAGTGCACTTCGGTTGGTCGTCCTGGTCCTGAAGCGTAACTGTAGTCATTTCCGGGATACTTGTCGTTTGCTGTCACGTGATCATCATTTTGAAACTTATTTCCATCCTCTTGAAAGATCGGATTATCAAAGCAAGCCTGAAGAAGAATAGTATTATGGTCATCGTTTGTTTTATAATAACGATTCGGATTGTTAAGAATCTTCAGTGGAATTTTTTTCATTAGTCGTCCACTCATTTTGCAACTCCAGAAGAAATACTCTTTTAAACCAACATCGATTCATTCGGTAAATAAAGTATTTATATTCCGACCATAATTAGCTGTATCCTCATTATATTAAAAAACAGATTCCCATTACAGCTAAATAAATCAAAAGGTTCTAAAGCTATTTTCCTGGAACTAATACCAAATATATTGGGGTGAAAGACTTTTCTTGTAATATTGCCGTTCATATTATTCCTCTTATTGTAAATTCATGGGAACTTTATGTTCAAACTCGATTGGCCAAATCAGCCTGTATGTCCATTGGTTTACAAACTGATATCCAACTGTGCACATTCCATCGGAAAATCATTTCCCAAGTTCACACAATGTATTCTATGTAATTTATACCTTTATTACAAGTTTGTGTTAATAAATTTTCCCTGAATCTCTATTTGTAATAATATAATTAAATTTTATCACTTATTTTCCTGATTACAATAAACGTCAATAAAAGAAGAAATTAGTGTTAAAATTGAAACGACGGATTCAAGACGTTTGTCTGTTATCCTATCCATCGGGACACTCTAGTTGACACCGATGAAACACGAAAGTCACCTGGGAATACATTCAAGGTGTTTGGTCTTGCAGTGCGGTTCCGCTCTACGACCAGAAACTTTAACATGTGATGAAATGGGAATATATATATATATATATAGGTATTGGGTCTTATTTTATAAGTTGTGGTTATTGGAATTTGAAATTGACTTATTATTTTTGCTCCGTTCTTATCACCAAGACTTACATAAAATAATTGCAATCTATTTTCGTTTGGTACAGACGAGTACAATTATTAGATTTCAACAACAATGGTCAATAAAACAACTGAAGTCACTATAAATTGAGTATATATTCTTCAAAAAGGTTCCATGCAAAGCTCTACTTCTTATTATAATAAGATGTTTTTCCCTTTTTGACATAATTATTGGAGTTAAGGTGTATTATTGTGTTTTTTTCTGCAATATAATATTGATTTTAAAATATCATTTACTTAACGTACAAGTGAGAGGTTTAGCGCTATAAAACCAGGTTCAATCCACCATTTTCTACATTTGAAAATGCCTGTACCAAGTCAGGAATATGACAGTTGTTGTCCATTCGTTTGATGTGTTTTGTCATTTGATTTTGCCATGTGATTAGGGACTTTCCGATTGAATTTTCCTCGGAGTTCAGTATTTTTGTGATTTTACTTTTTAACAATTCAGTATAGTTCGACCCCCTCCCACATCACATACAGCCCCACACACACTGATTTAGATAAAGCTTACTGTATGAACTTGACGAAAAAACCACCAAATGCATACTATATGCATTTGCACTCTATAAATTTTAACATTTTAAAATTGCTTTAGAAGATTTTAAATCGTGTTAAAGGTGTACAGTTATTATTTTCCATCAGTAAATAACATTTCTACACAAAGTAATCACAACAGCTTTTGTCAAATGTCAATTTCACGCACATAGAAATGCACATTGATTTAATATTTAATATACCAAAATGTAAACCAATTTTATTCGTTTAGACAACCAAAATAATAAAAAGACATACTCTTTTATCATAACTATTCAAACAACTTTACTGCATAAAGTTTAATTATTCATTAGTTTATCTACAACTTTTCAATACCTTTTTTATATCTTGAATATTGAAAAAAAACTTATCTGCATCAAACATCCTATAAATCACAAAATTAGCATTTTCTTAATAAAAGATGTTAACTAACCGTTCAATAGATACATAAATTTGGAAGGCCATCAATCTTATTTGTTGACAAAAATTACAACCTAATTTCGACTTATCTTCGTCATCAAATAAATTTGACCTTATCATTAAAACGCTTGGCAAGTGAATCAAAAACTGTTAACGAAAAGTAAAACAAAAGAGTCCAAGTTGAATGCATAGCTCACACACGAAATTAACCTCCTCTGTGGTTTCGTGGTAGCATTTCGCCTCGAGTGCGGGAGGACGTGGGTTCGAACCCCGGTCGGTAAAACCAAAGACTTGAAAATTGGTGTTTGCTAGCTCTCTGCTAATCACGCCGCATTCAGGAGTAAGAGCAAAGACTTGTCGGCCAGGTGTCAGAATACTAGTAATGTGTCCGGGTAGGATGACATGTCTTCATGCAGACTGTTACCTTACGAACGAGCACGTTAAAAATCCAAGATTTCTGTCTAGTACAAAGCAGGGTTTACACTCATATCACACTATCATGTTATCGTCCTGAATATGCATTTAATTTGAAATTCGACAATCAACAGCCAGCCATGATCCATCCATCAATTAAAAACAAAAACAACAAAAAACCGCATAATTTGATCGTAAATGTATAAATTGTCAAATAGAATATTTTTGTTTAATCGTGAAAGATATTTTAATGCCTAAAACATAAATTGAGTTACAAAAAAAAATATTATTATGAAAATATCTGCTAGTAATTAAAAAGAAGGGACACGGTGTATTGATTGATTGTGTCCTCTGAGCGTCCAGTGGTACATACCAGTAGTTAATATAAAAATAAGAAGGTGTTGTAAGATTGTTAATGAGGCAACTCTCCACCTAGCAACTATCGGTCACTCCCATATTTAGAACGTGAACAAATTGACAATAAATCCATCGAAATCAGAAAGGTTTCGTAAAGAGGGTCGAAGAGCGGGACATTTACACAGCCTCTGGATAAAGTTAAAGTTTTCCTTTCAACAAGTCACCTACGGACTCCTCAAATGGACGTCCAAATGCTTTTTCATGCGCGGAGAGCGTAGCACTCACACTGAACGAAGCATTCCGGTAGGGCGTGTAATTTTAATTTTTTAAACAGACTGATAAGATCAGACAATGCAAAACTATTATCAAAATTGACAAACCATTAAGGGATGATAACAAGACGGCTTGACAAAATATTGAAAATGAGGGTAACTATGATATGGATAGACGTATTTACCTTGTGATAGCCCACTTACGTACCCCTTAGAGATGTTTTGCAATGTTGCATCGACAAAAGAGCGTGACACTCTTCATATATGAAGAATCGGATTAAAAGCCCGTTTTCCGACCAGACGATGCTGCGTTTTTATCAGTCTTTCCTTTGCCTGTATCACTCTTCTCAGCTCTTCATAAAATTGCATATCCCGGCTTTTGTTACGTAAAATTCGTTGACCCAGACTTATCACCGACGTCATTATGTTTGCATCGAAGTTGATAAGTTTGACCCAAACTTCATAAGGGCCCATCAGTTTTCTTGTGCTTTTTTTAAACAAAGAATATATATTTCTATCATAAAAAAAACACTTTTTCAATTCAACACGTTGATTATCAGAATTTTCATCATATTGATATTGTTAAACATCAGATACTCGTCTTAAGACTTCCTGAGCTCGTTAGATACGCTCGTATTGAACTCGCTGCTTATATTTTACATTATCAATACATGTATGCAAAAATCTTAAATTCGCTGCTCTTTTACACAACCAAACGGAAGCCCATCTATAGCATGGGTTTAACTACCGGATAGGAGTCCAGGGATGACTATATTTCTACACCAGAGCAAATCTTTGGTTTTGAGTGAAATGCGTAGATTTAATAGATATGAATCACATTAAAGACAGTTATAATAAGGAATTACTTTATAAAAGAAAACTGACAACTAATGAAAAAAAAGTTGAAAACTTTTATATGTAATATTGAATACATAAACATAAAACGCGTCTGATCAATTTAATATCGGCTACCGTACACAACAACATTTATAAATAGATTTCACAGTAGCAACACAAAATGTCAGTAATACTGTTCGTTCTTTGCAGTAACTTCGAATGAAATAGAGTAAAACACCTCTCATGATAATTTAACTTATGGACAACGTGCACTTACATGCAGGTTCTACTGTATGTGTACAACTACAGTAAATCGACTATTCTAGTCATCTTCCGCATTCACACGAAGGTTGAAATTTAAGGGCAAGGTAGTTCCATCATTTTATCCATCTGTATTAAGTCAAAAGTCAAGTTGTGTGATTTTTTTTATTAATTATTCAATGAATCAACTTATTTCTGCTTTATAAACGATATCAATAAAGACTAATGAGGAGCAATTTATCATCAACAATTTAATCGCCAGAAGAGTATAGTTTTTTTCCCGTTGTTAATATTAGATACATGGTTATTAATCACCATAAAAAGCTGACGAAGCTTATTGGCAAAAAAAATATATATATATATACTTATACTGCAATTATCTGTCTACAGGATTATTGATTGTTTTACAGAGCAAATTAAATTTAATGGTAACCTTCAAGCTACTGTATTTCATTTTATGCTGTAACTCGTATGTAATACGTACATGTATATTAGAATGTGCGTATATTCAATTGGCAAATGCTATTGTCATTTTTTTTAATCACACCGCGCCCTTCCTTTGATGTACAGAAAGATCAAGACTGATAGCCTCAGCCTCGTGTACAAGATTTCGCCGAACTGATCTTGATAAACACAGTCTTTCAGTATTAGCTAGAGGTATAGGGAATGGTTAATATCTTACAAAACAGGTTTAACCCCGCCGCAAAAATAAATGCTGGTTCTTTGTTTGTTTCGGAGTTTCGTGTGGCGTCCATTTCTCTGAACTAGTATACATTATTGATTAGATGCCAACTGAAGCTCGCCTCTGGGTGCAGGATTTTCTCGCTTCGTTGAGGACTCATTGGTGGTTGTGGACTGTTTCTGCTCTTTTGCCGAGTTGTTGTCTCTATGACACATTCCCAATTCTCTATTTGGTTCTATTAGTACACAAGACCATATGAAAAAGAATCAAATGATGTTGCAATGGTCTCATTATAAAACAGTGTGACCATATTTTGGCGTTTCTACGTAATGTTCAATTTTCTGTGTAATGTCACGTTGACTATTATTAGTGTTTTCGTCTCTTTTCTTTTTAACTCGGCGTTGCATTTCTCTCTTAAATTTGTTATTCTTGTATCCATATTTTGGATAAATACTTTAAAATTGCCGAACTCTGATATTTAAGCATATATAACAAATTGGTTATTTGTTCAAATGATTGATAAATATCATCAGTCTGCTTAACTTCCAACGGTACAGTAAAATAGTAATACTATGTTTAATACATCAAAGATACTGTGATGCTGTGATACTATGAATTTTAGAAAAGATTTGGTATGCAACTTTTAGGGAAATGTTCCAACCATTTTATAGGTATAAATGCAAACCAAATAGTTTCTTCAATTTTATGATAGTGTAAATTAAGTAAAATAGTCGCAATGTGCATTTCTAGTTAGACACAACACATTCATCTTGCTTTTTGTTTTGTTTTTTAATGTTTTGTTAGGTTTTTTGTTGTTGTTATTATTTTGGCGGGAGGGGGCATGTTTTTTAGATAGATTGCGTGACTATAAATGTTGACTCTTGAAGAAAAGAACAGTAAATTGTTTCAAGAGCTAAGTAAAATTAAAATTGAGAATGGAAATGGAGAATGT